TGAGCCACATCCCCAGCCCCTCAAAGTGTATTTTAAATTATTCATGTGTTTGTATAATTTCTGGAGTTTGTCTTGCTGTTGATTTATAGTTGCATTCCATTATCATCTGATAATATGCAAGAAGTTATTCCAATTTTTTAAAAAATATTATGACTTATTTTATGTTCTAATATCTATTCTAGGAAAAGTTCCATGTGCTTATGAAAAGAATGTGTATCCCACAGCTATTGGATGGGATATTCTATAGATATCTCTTAATTCCATTTGATTCCGTAACTCAATGTTTCTTTGTTGATTTTTTTCTTTTTCTTTTACTAATCTGGATGTTCTGTTGATGATGTGAAGATTTGAAGTCACCAACTATTATTTCATTGTGGCCTATCTYTCCCTTTATGTCTAGTAGTTTTTGTGTTATAACATTGGATTCTCTGATTCAGCATATATCTCTATATATTTATAATCATTATATCTTCTTGATACATCATTCCATGCTCTCCTGGTCTTTTGAGTTTCTACAGAGAAATTAATTCTGATGGGTCTGCCTTTAAATGTGACTTTATGCTTCTCTTTTGCAGCTTTTAATATTATTTATTTGTTTTGTACTTTGTTTAACTACATCTTATGGAGACATTCTTTTCTGGTTATGTCTATCTGGGGTTCTTCTGACAGAGGATTAATATCCAGAATTCAAAAAGCTTAAGAATAAACAAAGGTGGCAGAGTGAATGGCCTCTGCTGCCTCTTCTGGACCATGGGAGGTGAGCCAAGAAATAAGTAGTGTATACTGGTGCAGGAAGAAGCTATATAATCACAAATATCTATTGTGGGGAAAGCAGTGGGCAGTCCCCTCACAATGTACTGCTTGTGATTCTACTTAGTGTGACTTAGCTCCCAAGTGAAATCACACATAGCTGCTTATTCCCCTGGATGGACTCTTACAGCTGGCTCTCCAAACCACAGTTTTGAAGGGGAAACTTTTGTTCCCTTATGCCTTGCAGTTCAGTTGTTGTTGTTGTGTGTATGTGTGTGTGTGTACGCACACACTCCTAGAGATTTAACCCAGGTGAAATGGGCAAGTGCTAGATGCTTCTTTTGGGGCATGGGTACTGAGGATTGAACTCTGAGGTACTTGACCACTGAGCCACATCCCCAGCCCTATTTTGCATTTTATTTGGAGACAGGGTCTCACTGAGTTGCTTAGCACCTTGCTTTTGCTGAGGATGGCTTTGAACTTGTGATCCTCCTGTCCCAACCTCCTGAGCTCTGGGATTATAGGCATGCACCATCAGGTCCAGCTGTGCTATGTGCTTCTAATATGCAATTTTGGACCCTCCTTTGCTATCTACTTTCTATCTTTGACATTTATTTAATAAATGTAGAAATTTGTTTCTTGTAGTTCTTGAGGGTAAGAAGTCTAACATGAGGGCCCCTGTAGTAGGTAAGAAGTCTAACATGAGGGCCCCTGTAGTTTCTGGTGAGGGACCACTGTGTCCTCACATAGTGGGAGGACTTGCTTTTTGGGTGTTTCCAAATGTTTAGTAGCACCTGCTTTAGCAGTTGATGCCACCATCCTACACATCATAGGACCAACAAAGAGATTTCATAATTTAAATTAATGGCTTAGGTTTCTTTACAAACTGAATACTTTTAAAAGTATTGTACCAAGTTCCTTTGTAATAAAGATGATTGCAATATACTTGAGTAGCAGGTGTTTCTAAACAGATATTGAAAAAGTCCCCATTTTTCCAGGCATACTAAGAACTACAGAGGGCTGGGGTTGTGGCTAAGTGGTAGAGCACTCACATAGCATGTGCAAGGCGCTGGGTTCAATTCTCAGCACCACATAATAAATAAATAAATAAATAAAAGGTATTGTGTCCAACGACAAATATATATATATATATATATATATATATATATATATATATATATTTTTTTTTTTTTTTAAACTACAGAGCCCAGTTTAGGGAAATGGAACACTTTGAGAAGAACTTGAAGAATGTCCATTAGAAACAGGTTGTGCTTTAATTCCCTCCTCCTTCCTTTATTGTCTTCCTTTTGAGGAGTCATCTTTTTATTCTAAATCCATGTTCCTGGAACTATTGGTTGTTGTAACTCCTTATTGTAATTTACTTATTAAAACAATTACACTAATAATACATATTTTTCTAGAATGCAAATTCCACAAGGCAGAGACCTGAGTAGTACCATACCTGATATGTGTATAATCAATAGTTGTTGAATGAATGAATACTTATGTAGAAAACTAGAAAATATATATATAAGGAACATGAAAAAATCACTTCTATAAACTGGAAGTCTTTTCTGATCCTACCATATAACCCATTCATATGTTATGATATTCATATGTTAGTAACTATTGTACTAAACACAAAAATGCATATCTATATAAGAGTATACAAAATGCCCGGGACTAATAAGCACTAGATTCAGGATAAGGTTTGCCTTTTGAGGATGAAGGGAGAAAAGGGAATGTGATTGAGGAAGAGGATACAGAGAGGTTCAGTGGTACTGTCAATAACATTTCTTTTTTTTAACATTTATTTATTTATGTCTCTTTAGTTTTTTTTTTTTAAGGTGGACACATTATTTTGCTTTTATGTGGTGCTGAGGATCGAACCCAGTGCCTCATGCATGCTAGGCGAGCACACTACCACTGAGCCACAATCCCAGCCCTCAATAACATTTCTTAAGCTAGATTATAGATACATGAGTGTTTTAATATTCATTACTTTTTGCATATCTGAATTTATATTAAAATATATATTTTAAACAAATAATTTAATAAGAGTGGGAACATACCTTCACTATCAGTTTTTAATCTTTATTTTTCTCACTTTATAAAAAAATTTACTTCACAGTTTTCCATGTCCTGCTATGCATCACATCAATTACATCTCATGGAATTACATGCATTCCCCCTGCCCACCCCACCCCCAAAATCAACAACTTAGAAATACCATAGATGAAGTATAATTTAACTAGCCATTTCCTATTTGAAGATATTCATTCAGAAAATAGTTTGAGTGCCTGTAGGCCAGATCATTTGGGTTGGGTTGCTATTACTGTTAAAAAAAATTGTTATAGTCCTTTACTAACAACTCAGGGTCAAAAGACTTGACTTTCTCTTGTTGAGACTGAAGGATGGGGAGGTACTATGGATTAAGCTATACTGACTGCCTAAGTATTTAACCAAGAAAAAGTATGTGTCATGATCCTCTTCCAACCCTCATATACACTGAAATGTTGATTTCTCTATAGCTTAACATTTGTGGGCCCACAGGCTGCTGGCATAGCCTACTGGTGGAGTTGTTTTCCCTTACCAGGATAGAGTTATCTTGCCTGCTGCTAAGTACAATTGTCTTTTTTTTTTTTTTTGTCTTGCTTTGTATCTAACATCTGCTCCCCAAAAAGAAAAGAGAAGGGTAAATGCAACAGTGACTGAACATGGAGGGACAGTGAATGAACTCAGACAAAATTGTCCACATGCAAAAACTGGTCTGATCTTTCACTAAATATACTAAGATTTTTTTTCTTAATTTTTTTTTTAGTTGTAGATGCCTTTATTTTATTTATTTATTTTCATATGGTGCTGAGGACCAAACCCAGTGCCTCACATGTGCTAGGCAAGTGTTCTACCACTGAGCTACAGCCCCAGCCCTGAATTTACTAAGTTCTTAGTCAATATCTGACTTTATATGATCAGTCAATGATGATCAAGTCTGTTCATTTGAGCAGGTAAGGCACATAGATGAAATCATTATTCTGATTTAAATTGTATGCTGCATGGTAGCCTAGGCACAGTCTATATGCAAGATAAAGAAACCACTCAGGACAGGCTGATGTTTTGAACCCATAAATTGAGAGTATCAATGAAAAGTCTTACATATCTAAATATACTGTAACTTTTGTTTGTGAATTTAATCACTTTGAATGTAATTTCAGGAATGGCATATGCTCTGCTGGCTGCAGTTCCTATTGGATATGGCCTCTACTCTGCTTTTTTTCCTATCCTGACATACTTCATCTTTGGAACATCAAGACACATTTCAGTTGGTAAATTTTTTTTTAATAATGGACACAATACCTTTATTTATTTATCTTTATGTGGTGCTGAGGATCAAACCCAATGCCTCATACTTGCTAAGCAAGAACTCTACCACTGAGTTACAACCACAGCCCCTCAGTTGGTAAATATAAGCATATTTTTTTAAATATTTTTTTTTAAAGAGAGAGTGAGAGAGGAGAGAGAGAATTTTCCAACATTTATTTTCTAGTTCTCGGCGGACACAACATCTTTGTTGGTATGTGGTGCTGAGGATCGAACCCGGGCCGCACGCATGCCAGGCGAGCGCGCTACCGCTTGAGCCACATCCCCAGCCCAGCATATTTTATAATTGTCTTCATTCATGTTCGAAGTGTTTAGCTATATTATATGCATCAGTCTTCTTTATCTTTGTTAATACTTTCCAAGGAAATCAGGCTTTGATGCTTTGTCTACTCTTCCTAGTCAATGATATTAGTTAACTGTATACATACCTTTTTAAAATTAAGAGGATAAATTTGAAAGACTGAAAAATCCTGCCTTTAGATCTTAGTATGTTTTAATTTTAAAAATGTAATAAATTTGACTCTATATTTAGAAATTGTTCTCCCAAATATAAAATGACAGGGTAACAAATCTTTGCAAGGTCTTTGAATCTGTATTTTACTAGATTAACTTAGCATTTATTAAATTATACTCATCAAATACATATTCATTAAATTAAAGAGYATACTGATTTTTAAGTTACTAAAATTGGAAGACTAGCAAAATCTTGCCAAAAAATGTAGAAACCAAGCTTGATTTTTCTTCTTGGCAAGGCTCATAAAAGCTTTTCCTGCCATTTCTAAAATTTAAGTTCTCTTTTGTTAGAATGTTCTAGTAAATGAATGTTTTAATGCTATTTCGTGCAAATTTGACATTTACACTAAAGATAGTTTTGTTCCTGTATCCATCTGTTGGCTAGACATGTCTACCTGGATGATCCTCTTGAAACAAATATAACCATCTACTCTACCCACCACTCATGTTCCTGTGCTTAGTTGTATCTCTCCCATTATCTAGTTCATTGCCTTGTCTGGAGGATACCAGAAAGAGGTTATTAAATGAAAGAACTTTCCCATCTTGGAGATCCATCAGTGTCAAATGCAAGGAACATTTTTTTAAAAAAGAGTTTATTTTTTCCTCAGTGTTCTCTATATTTAGACATTCCAGGTTACTGGGTTTGGGTACTGAGTTCTCCCAACAACAAATCCCTCTGTTGGTCAAATAATAGGATCATCTTGGGTATAAATATCAGTAGTGAATGGAACACTTCCCGGAAGAAATCAGGTTTTTTCTCCCACATTTTTAATGGGTGTATTGTAGTTGCACACAATGGAGGGATTTGTTGTTACATATTGGTACATGCATACAATGTAACAATATAATTTGGCCAATATCATTTTCCAGTACTTCCCATGTTCCTCCCCTTCTTCCTCCCACTAGTTCCTTTCTCTAGTCTACTGATCGCCCTTTGATTTTAATTAGATCCCCACTCCAACTTTCTTTTCCTTTTTCTTCTATAGCTTCCACATATAAGAGAAAACACAACCCTTGAGAAATCAGAGCTTTTTTAAACTTACAATCTTACAGACTGGCATTTGACATGAAAAAATAATTTATCTTGCAAAGACAGAAAGAGAAACTACATACTTCCTTTGCCAATTCGTACCCTGTGATATTGATCAAGGCACTTGGATTCAGAGATCAGGATACTGGACACATGAGGAAGTTAATATTATTTTATGGATTAACAATTAGGTGGAACAAGTAAGAATTCAATTTATATGATGCCTTTGTCTGGAAAGCTTTAATTGACAACTCCCACCCCAACTTTCATCCCCCATGTACAAGAGGATCACACACAGAATTAGCTAAACAGCTTTCCTATGTATTCACAAAGCATCCTGAATGGATATCATGATCACTTACTGACATGTCTGGTGGCCATTTCTGGATCATGAATGACTTGAGATATCTACTTCTCAACTTCTTTTGTGAATAAGCAATATTTTCCTAGCCACAGCTAATTATTTCATACATGTTTATAATCCTACATAGATGTGTTGAGTCTAAATATTTGTGATTAATAACTGATTAATGATAAGAGACTTTTTCCCCAGGACCTTTCCCTGTGGTCAGTTTAATGGTGGGATCTGTTGTTCTAAGTATGGCCCCCGACGAACAATTTCTCATGTCCAGCAATAATGGAAGTACCTTGAATACTACCATGCTAGATACAACAGCCAGAGATACTGCAAGAGTAATGATTGCAAGCACCCTTACCCTTTTGGTTGGAATCATACAGGTAATGGTCATACAAGTAAAATATAGATTGGTGTGATTCTCTCTCTCTTTTTTTTTATAATTTTTTTTAGTTGTAGTTGACACAATACCTTTATTTCATTTATTTAATTATTTGTGATGCTGAGGATCAAACCCAAGGCCTCGCACATGCTAGGAAAGCACTCTACTGCTGAGCCACAACCCCAGCCGCGCCCCCCCTCTTTTTTAAAAAAAATAATTGTTTCATTTATTTATTTTTATGAAGTGTTAAGGATCCAGCCCAGTGCCTCACACATGCTAGGCAAGCACTCTGCCACTAAGCCCCAGCCCCAACTCCATTGTGTGATTCTTATTTGCAATAAGTAACTTCAAAACATGTGAACATAAAGATTCATCTAAAAGGAAAACAAAGTAATTTCCGGGACCCAAAAGTTATTTTCCAAATACATTGTCTTAGCCAGATGTTGAGATAGTTTGCAAGACCTCACTTATTAAGATTTACTTACTATCAAAAGTAGAGATAGAAGGGGGGAGGAAAAAAGCAGATGAAAATGCCTGATTCAGTTGAGGATGAGAGAAAGAAAATATATATACTGGTGAGCGGAGCCACGGGACCTGGAAGTCACAGAAAAAATCTACATGATGTTTGCTTTTCTTAGTACACACACAGAAATACTTTGAGGTTTATATTTCAAGGTGTTTTGATTGATATTAAACTTAATTTATCAATATTTCCAGAAAACTGGTTCTTTTCTCAGACTTTATATATATATACTGGGGAATTAACTCAGGGGTGCTTAACCACTGAGCCATATCCCCAACCCTTTTCTTTTTAAAAAAATTTTGAGACAGTGTCTAGCTAAGTTTTATAGCGTCTTGTTAAGTTGCTGAGGCTGGCCCTGAACTTAATGATTCTCCTCCTGCCTCAGCCTCCTGAGTTGCTGAGATTATAGGTGTGTGCCACAAACCTAGCTTCTCAGGAAAACATTTTAACTTTTTACTCTCTTCTCATCCTAGCTGGTATTTGGAGGTTTGCAGATTGGATTCATAGTGAGGTACTTGGCAGATCCATTGGTTGGAGGATTTACAACAGCTGCTGCCTTCCAGGTACTGGTCTCGCAGCTAAAGATTGTCCTCAACGTTTCAACCAAAAACTATAATGGAGTTCTCTCCATTATCTATGTAAGTGCTGCTTTTTATTCTGGGGATGGGTCACTGTTCTTTCTCCATTTAACTTGAGCCTGGATAACCTGTTTTCCATACATATTTATTTATTTATTTATTTGTATGTGGTGCTGAGGATCAATCCCAGTGCCTCATACATATGAGGCAAACACTCTACCACTGAGCCACAATCCCAGTCCCCATATATACTTTTGTAACCACTGAAAACATTTTTCTCTGAAAGAAGAAATGGAATCAGAAATAACATCGAAGAAGGCAGATTTTGCAAATCCTTGTTCTCAACTGGTCAGAATGGTTTCTGAAATGTTACTGTACCTAAAAACATTCGTGAAGAAAGCAATATGCTGAAATAAAGACAGTTCTGGGGTGCAATAGACTGGAACTCTAGTCTCTGCTTTGCTATGATAAGATAAATGACCTTGAATACATCAAGGAAGGTAATGGCTGAAAGTTCAGGTTTAAAATTGGATGGACCTGGATTCAAATTCTGACTCTGCTACTTATCATGAGCAACTCACCATGCCTCAGTTTCCTTTTCTGTAAAATAGGGTTGTTAATAGTATGTACCTGATTGGATTGTTAAACAGGAATAAAAGAGAAGGGTGGGGACATAGCTCAGTGGTGGAGTGCTTGCCTAGCATGTCAGAAGCCCTGGGTTAAACCCAGTACCACATAGGCTCACACACAAAAGAATAGATGAGGAGCACTTGGTTCAGGGGCTAACACATAGCAAATACTAAAAAGTTGTTATTTTGAAATTATTATTTCAAGGCTTCTTTTCTGTCTTATTTTAAAAATGAAATGATTGGTGATGTATTTCTCTAGCCCTTTCTAATTATGAGAGTCCATAAAATGCATAATGCAAATGTCTCAGCAATTATAAATGAAAAGGAACATTAAATTCAAGATGACTCAACATGCAAAAGAGATGCAAAAGAAGGATATAGATCACACTAATTAGATTTGAAGAAGTTCTTGGATCTAAATATATATTCTATATAAAGCCTGTTACTAATGCTTGAAAAAATGGGTGATAATAGTAACATGATGTCACTCTAGCCTGAGGGGAATTATACCATGCAAAAATAAGGTACCAGTGGGGTTTGAATCCTTTCATTACCCACAACATAGTGATTGAGATCATGGAGAAYAACATAGTGATTAAGATCATGGACTTTAAACTTCAACAAACCTGAGTTGGAGTCTTGTTTCTACCACCTACCTATGTGACTGGTTATGTTACTACGAATTTCTCTAGCTGGGTGTAGTGGATCACGCCTGTAATACCAGCTACTCGGGAGGCTGAGGCAGGAGGACCCCAAGTTCAAGGCTAGTCCTATCAATTTAATGAGGCTTTGTCTCAAAATAAAAAATTTTACAAGAACAGTGGTGTATCTCATTGCTAGGTTACTCTGGGTCCAATCCCCAGTATTGCAAAATAAGCAAACAAATAAAAATACCATCAATCAAAAAAAAAAAAAAAAGAACAAAAAAAAATTAACTTCCCTAAACTTTCATGTCCTTAATTATAAAATGGAGTGATAGTAATATCTATCTCTCAGAGGATTTTAAAAGAAAATTTGGGTGAGGCATTAAAAATAATATCTAGCATATACTAAGAACTCAGTTTATTGTTTTTATTATTTTCATTATCATGGAAGAATAGACCTCATGGTGGTTACTATTTACCTCCCAGAGAACCAGCCTATGATAAAACGTTATTAGTATAGCCTCCTTTCTGATTCAGCATTATTTTTTTTCCCCTTTCCAAGTCCTCAGTTCTTTTTGAGAACTTCAGACTTCTTATTCAGACAGGCTCTGTCACTTTTGCAGCCCATCACATATCTTTGGCTGCTTTCACACTTTCTCCATCAACACTTCATCTATTCCTTCATTTTCATCCATTCAATTGACCTATGCAATAAGATTTATTGAATAGCTACCAAATGTGCCAGTTACTGTTCACTCCCAGTACAAACCCACCAAGACATCTCTTACTAACTATGCTCACGGCCTTCTGAGAACAGTACTAGGTCTATATCCACTCAGATCACGGGAGGCATAAGCCAGCCCTTGACCAGGGATACTGGCCATTGCTGGACATCTGGAGAACAGGAGAAATGATTCATATAATATTTTAGGACTATTTTAAGAAGAAACTTGATGCTAATGGTCCCAGTTTCACAGGGACTAAAGCAACATGGACATGTAAGACCAAGGTCAAACATAATTTTAAAACCAACCATGATCATTGTGTCACTTATTTCCAATTGAATATTATTCCTGAAGTTTCCGTTTAGCATGTGCCATAGGGTTTTTTCTAATGGACTTTACTTTTCAGAGAAGCTTTAGGCTCACAGAAAGATTGAGCAGAAAGTATAGAGTTCCCATATACCCACTGTTCATCCCCAACCTTCCCACTATTAACATCGTATATTGCACTGGAGTGGTACATTTCTTATAACTGTTGAGCCTACTGTTGTAGAATTTTGCAGGAAATTCCTTATAGGCCAGTCAAGTGTGATGAAGGATTTCAATTACTCCTATTTGATAGTAAATATAAACTTTCTATTCTGAAAAGTCTGTGGTATTAGGAATTGAACTAGGGCCTCACACATGCTATGGAAGTGCTGTATCACTGAGCTACATCCCAATCTCTTTTTAAAAATTGTATTTATAAGACAAGATCCTCCTAAATTGCCCAGGCTGGTTTGAACTTGAGATATTCCTGCCTCAGCTTTCCAAGTAGCTGAGATTACAGGCATGTGTCACTATGCCCTGCAAGCATTCTATTCTGGGGAAAAAAAAAAAAAGAATGAACAGGTCTAGAAATTATTGCATGAAGTTCAAAGAGCCACTTGGTCCCTGAATGGACCCATGCTTATGACATTACTATTGTAAGCATTTATAAGAGTCCCCTTCAATAAATTCAGCAATAGTGGATTCTTCTAGGAAAGATTATTATAAAACACTTTGCCTGGAATGTGATTAACTTATTACAACATCATGTACAAATTAAAATATTTTTCTTATAAGAATGTATTTTGGTTTGTCCCAGCCTGTCCTTCAAAGATGTACTGATAACTAGAAGTAATGAATACAAAAATTTGAAGGAGAAACTATTAGGAATGAAAGAAAAACCGTTAGTTCACAAATGCCAGAGATGCTTGGGTATAGAATGCAGAAGTGAGCATGACGGTGTTGGCAGCAATTCAGAGTTAATAATACTAATTAATTAATAATACTAATGATACCATGTAGCTAAAGTAAAGTGGTTGTTTTCCTCCATTCACTTTGAATGGTTTGTCTCTTTGTTTGCTTACTAAATTCATGCTACTTGCTTCAAGGTGAGGAAGAAGAATGCACTGAAGTTCTGTCCAAAGCTGAGAGTTTTGAAAGCCACAGCTTAGCTTGATCAAACTTGTCACTTCAGTATGTTAAATTTACACCCTTAAGAAAGCATAAAGTCACACTAAGGGGTAATATACATATACACAAAATATCTGATAGCAGAAAGTTCCTGAAGGCAAGAGGTGATTATGAAGGTTTGTTATATTCATGGAGATAAGATAAACTAAAATAAATACAGTTTCAAAGTTAACCGGTAAATTTTATTATATACAAGATCAGATGTAATTTTTTCCCTATGGCTTTTTACACCTAGGTAATATGGGCAAGAACAGTTATCTAAATGAAATGGTCCTAAAATTCCCCGAATGTCATAAGAAATATAGTGAAATATTATACATTACTGAAAAGTCAATAACATGATTGGAACTATGTTAGAATTCTAGACTAAAATACAGGATCATATATTTATCCACATTTTAGTATTTTATAGAAAACTCAATTAGCATTATTGTTCAGAACATCCTTGGAGTGTCTCTTCTCTCTTTGAGTACATTCTATTTCTGTTTATTTTTAAATTTTATTCTTTTTAGTTATACATGGCAGTAGGATCTATTTCGATATATTTATACAAGCATGGAATTTATCATATTCTATTTAGGATCCCAGTCTTGTGAATGTACATAATGTTGAGATTCGTTGTGGTATATTCATATATGTTCATAGGAAGTTATGTCAGATTCATTCCACTGTTTTTCCTATGACTATTTCAGTTTATATTTCTTTTTAGTTTGTTTAAATATTTATTTATTTATTTTAGTTGTACTTGGAAACAATACTTTTATTTCACTTATTTATTTTTTTGTGGTGCTGAGGATCGAACCCAGGGTCTCTCATGTGCGAGGCGAGAGCTCTACYGCTGAGCCACAACCCCAGCCCTGAGTTTTATTTCTATATAGACTAAAGTTTCTACTGTAGAACTTTTCATAAGAAATCCTGAATGATTACTCAGTGTGTAGGAAACCTAAGATATATATGCTTTGCTGAAACAATTGTATAATATGAACTGATTTTGATTTTTGCAGCTCTTATTACATTTTTGACACAACAGAGTTGTTTTGTTTTCTTTTGTTTTTGGTGGTGGTACTAGGACTTGAACTCAGGGGCACTCTAGCACTGAGCTACATCCCCAGCCCCCCCCCCTTTTTTTTTTCTTTTGAGACAGGATCTTGCTAAGTTGCCTGGGCTGGCCTGGAACTTGTGATCTTTCTGCCTCTGCCTCCCGAATAGCTGGGATTACTGGCATGTATCACTGCACCCTGCAAAAAGTGCTTTTTATTCAAAGGTCTAAGTGACTCTTAGATTAAATGGAACTATCCTGTAGTGATTTTTTTTTTTTTTTTGTGGTGTAGGGGATTGAACACAATACTTTGCACATACTACGCAAGGGGTCTACCCCTGAGCTACATTCCCAGCTCTTCTGTACTGATTTTTATAATGTGAAAATATTTGTGTGGTTAGGATAATTAGTCCAAATGTTTTGTTTTTTAAGTTGGAATTTTCCCATGCTGAGTTGGAAAGTCAACCTTTATTATATAGACAGTTAATCAAAATATTATACCTAGCTCATGAATTAATGAAGGTCCTCATTAGAAAATTGATTTCCTAAAGTCAAACAGCAATGACAGCCTTCAAGCCTCTGTGTAAGGAGTAGGGTGGTTGGCTCCTGTGTGTGATGGCCAAAACTCTTGTTGCTTCTGCTCCTGAAAGTTCCCATTCTCTTCCACCATGGGGCTGCTGGCTAAATCTTGTTCTGTCAGCCTATCTGCCTCCAGCAATTCTCAGTGATTCTGGAAGCAGACAGCCCAGTACCTGCTAGGAGTACAGGGTTTAAAATAAGAACAAAAATCCTCTTTGAGTGAAAGTCCAAAAGGCTTCCTACAAGCTCAATGTTTAAGCTCCCATCCAAGCTCTTGGTGGAATGTATTCTGTTTGCAAAATACTCCCTCATTCCCTCACTCTTGAATGTGTTCCAGAGTTGAGGTTGCTCGAAAAATTATTCTTAGATGACTTTGTGTTCTTTATATAATGGTTACCAGTTTATCATTATAATTATTTTAAGAATTTTACTTACCTACAAAAATCAACAAGGTATCTGTTGTGAACTGTAAGATGTTTCATTCCTTTATCTTTATATAAAGATTCATTCAAAGAAAAGCAAGCTTCACTGAGAGATCACAAATCTCAAAGATTTAAGGGATGTCTTCTTAAGTTGTGACTTACACAAGACAAATATAACAAAGATGTTAGTGTTCTTCCTGCAGACTCCTTTGCTAATTTCCTTTAAGAATACCCTCAATTCCCAAAACTTCTTATTTACAAAACAAAACTTACATTTCTTGACCTGGCTTCTCTGCTCACTTGGAAAGAATTATCTTTAGTGGTTATCTTAGTTCAAGTTTAAACTATGTACCAAATTAATTTCAAAATATGTATACTTGGCCTACAGATCAATTTAATAGCCTTTGCCATGAAGAATGAATCAGTCAGATGCAGTGGTGCACACCTGTAATCCCAGTGACTTGGGAGGCTGAGGCAGGAGGATTGAAAGTTCAATGCCAGGGCTGGGGATGTGGCTCAAGCGGTAGCGTGCTCGCCTGGCATGCATGCGGCCCGGGTTCAATCCTCAGCACCACATACAAACAAAGATGTTGTGTCCACTGAAAACTAAAAAAATAAATATTAAATAAATAAATAAATAAATAAGTATAAAAAAATAAAAAAAATAAATTTAAAAGAAAAAAAAAAAAGAAAATTAGGCCACTTAATGACACCTGAAAAAACCAGTTTAAGATATAAACTTTTGAAGCTTGTCAGCAAGAACAAGAATATAATGACATTTTTAAAAAGCTCTTCACTTTTTTWAAAAAAGCATTTATTTTTTAGTTATAGGTGGACACAATATCTTTATTTTATTTTTAAGTGGAGCTGAGGATCGAACCCAGTGCCTCATGTATGCGAGGCAAGCACTCTTACACAATCCCAGCCCCCCAAAAGATCTTCACTTTTTATTATAAAAAATAAGAATGTAGAATCCACCCATAGTTTTACTTTTTCAAGTAGACTGTCATTAGTGTATACTCATACATGTACATATATATATATATATATATATATATATACACATACATTTGGGTATATTTACATATACACATGTATATATCTACACTTAGCAGAGACAGCATGTACTTAATGGTCCTTGTATTAACCAACACATTATTATGATTTAACATAAAATGTTCACATATTGTTTGATGATCTGATTTTTCATGTGGGAAAATCCAGGGGAGAATTGATTTTATGTACGTGTATGTCTCTGCAACAGGAAGTATATAAAATAATTTTCTCTTTACAGACTCTGGTAGAGATTTTTCAAAATATCGGTGAGACAAATCTTGCTGATTTCATTGCTGGATTACTCACCATTGTCATCTGTATGGCAGTTAAGGAATTAAATGATCGATTTAAACACAAAATCCCAGTTCCTATTCCTATAGAAGTAATTGTGGTAAGTAGAACATATAGTTAGAAAAATTCAGCATTAATTATGTTGACAAGTGAGGGATTGTGGATTTTTTTGTTTCATAACTTCTTTTATTTTATTTCAGACCATAATTGCCACTGCCATTTCATATGGAGCCAACTTAGAAAAAAATTACAATGCTGGTATTGTTAAATCCATCCCAAGGGGGTGAGTATGACGTTCCTCTTAGATAATGCTAACATATAAAGCCAGTACTTTCTATTTAAATGAAACCTTTTATTACAAGCTTCACTTCACTGGTGCTTTTTCAGTAGTCCTATTTGTGTATGATCTTAAAGAAACACCTATTTGTGCAAAACATCAGACAAACAGCACATGCATGGATAAAGTTCAAGCCATTTGCTTAAAAGTAGTCCCTATATATGTTCTTTTCCCTTCATTTTCTTAAAATGTGGCAGGATGTGTACATTTAATACCAGAATCCTGATTTAAACTCATATGTATAATTACAACACAATAGAATTACACCGTTATGATCAGTAGCATTTATTGCACTGTGAACAATCTGCTTGAGAAGTCAGGGACATCTGGCTTAAATTCTCTACCATTTAATCTATCTTAGATAATAATTATATCTTTTGTATCTATACATAAGTTGCATTATCTTTAAGGGGAGTTTTAAAAGAACTATTTTTTTTGAGAGAGAGAGAACTTTTAATATTTATCTTTTAGTTTTCGGCAGACACAACATCTTTGTTTGTATGTGGTACTGAGGATAGAACCCGGGCAGCACACATGCCAGGCAAGCACGCTACCGCTTGATCCACATCCCCAGCCCTTTAAGGGGAGTTTTAAGTAAGTTTGGTAGTGTCCATCTCTGTCACTGTGTAGTTGTATGGCTCTCCGGAAGTTGCCTATATGTGAAGGGTAATTACAACTACTGAAGCCTCAGTTCAAGCTTGTGAAATGCCAGTGAGAGCTCTCATAAAATGCAGAGTGGAAAAAGCGTTTTACACTATAAATTTGTTATATGGTGTTAAAAAGAATCCCAGATGTTTATCACATATGTAACATTAACTTATAGCATTTATGACTAGACTTGCTGCTGATTGGTAAGTACTGGTTTCCCTTCGCTTAATCTTAGCTGAGGCACCTTGTGCTGGTCTTTGTTTTTCCATGATCCTGATAGAAACTACTCAGGCGAGCTAATTCCTACTGCTTGTTCCACAGGAAACTGCTACCTTCCCATTTGATTAATCTCACAATTTCTTCCAAGTTTCTTCCACCTCAAAAAATATTTGAAAAATGGCTAGGCCTGGTGGCACAGGGCTGTAATCCCAGAGACTCAGTAGGCTGGGGCAGGAGGACACCAAGTTCAAGGTCAGCCTTGGCAATTTGGCCAAGACCCCATTTCAAAATAAAAATAAATAAATAAATAAATAAATAAGGGAGAGATGGCTAGGCGTGTGTCCCACGCCTATAATCCCAGCGGTTTGGGAGTGTGAAGCAGGAGGATCGTGAGTTTAAAGCCAGCCTCAGCAGTGGCACACCACATAAAAATAAATAAAATATATGTATTGTATCTATCTACAACTTCCAATTTTTAGTTATAAAAATTATACAAAACTATATTTCATAGATCCCTTTGGTGGCAAGGTGCTAAGCAACTCAGTGAGACCCTGTCTCCAAATAAAATACAAAATAGGGCTGGGGATGTGGCTCAGTGGTCAAGTGCCCCTGAGTTTAATCCCTGGTACCAAAAAAAAAAAAAAAAGGACTGGAGTATAGCTCTTTGGTAGAGAGCCCCTGGGTCCAATCCCCATTACTGCAAAACAAACAACTAGCTACATGGGACTTGAGTTACATATTACCCATAATAGCATTTCTCAAACTTACACATTTAAGAATCATGTGAGACCTTCTTTACAAAGATTCCTGGCTCCCACCCCAAAACTATTGAATCAAGCTTCCCAGAATAGGGGCCTGAAAATTATTATTTTTCAAAACTGTCTCAAATGAGTCTTCTGATCAGGTAAATATGGGAAACTCTGTATTAGAAGATCTGAATTTTAGTAGTGAATTCTAAAGCTGAGAGGAATTTAATGATAAAAAATTGCAATGTGGCTACTTGAGTTATGGAGTTTTTACCCTAATATTCAATTTTGGGGGTAGTTATAAAAATTATACAAAACTGTATTTCATAGATCCCTTTTGTCAGGCCCCCTAATATGTAACAAACTATAGGTGGTTATGGGGGGCAGCATATGCCCTGCCCCCCAAATCCATATTCTATTAGTTGATTGCTGCTCTTAGTTGTCCTTCCCGGCCTTCTACTCAGCTTTCCTGACTGGCTTCTCCTGAGAATGGATCCCGAGCCTCTTACCTTGGGTTTAATCAAGCTGAATCCTCTGACAGACCACCTGGTCAGCCTGGTCAGCTAACAGCCTGCTGGCTGTGAGGACTCTCAGCTCTTCCAACAGKACAATAAACCCATTTGTGTTGCTCGGCTCTGTCTCCCTAGCACAGTACCTATCTCACAGAAGACTCTCAGAAAATATTTGTTGAAGGGATAAAATACCAAGGCCCATGTCATTATACACAAGCCACAAGAAAGGCCTTTGTTATCTGATGTCACTTGGTAGCATAAAAACAATTCTAATATTAATAAACCTGAGAAAGAAAGGGTAGCACTGAGACATTGGAAAAGAGCAAGTGAAAGAGAATGTTCTTAGTGGCTGAGGCGAGTCCTGGGAAAGGCCAAAGAACAGAGAGGGAGAAAGGGGGGTGTGCCACCTTCTCATCTCCTCCCTGCCTCATGCCTCCAATCAGGCTGCTGTTGGCAGCTTGCTTTCATCCTATTCAGGGTCAGAGCCATATGTTAGGATTGCTTGGTTCCCAATAAAAATGTCACACTAGACTGACAAAAGCTGTGACTCCTTGTCCTTTTCTCCACTCCCTTCCTGGTAAAAATATGCTTGTCTGGGCTGGGGCTGGGGCTCAGTGGTTCAATCCTCAGCACCACATAAAAATAAATAAAATATATGTATTGTATCTATCTACAACTAAAAAAATAAATAAATAAGCCTGTCGGGAGCCAGTCCGGAAATACACGCCCTTAAGTCCTGAGCAAGAGATACTGAACAATTATTGCGCCCTGCAATAACTTGGGCTTTACCTTCGCTCAGATAATGAGACATGGCTCCAGGAGTAGGCGTCACCAGGTGGGGTTGAGTTACAGTCACCCGTTCCTTTGTAATCCTACCCTTTTGCTCTTTCTGGGATAGAATGTTCCATGGAACCTCCCCTTGTGTGTCCCCTATTTAAGAATAAAGAATGCCAGTGGCTCTCTTTCCACAAACCTCTAAGGTCACAGAACTATCCCCGGATTTTGAAAAGGTACTTCTGTGTGTTTGTGTGCTTTCTTTGCCATTTTCTTAAGTTATTGGAATAGTCAGATTTTGTGAACCCAGAATTAGGTCGCCAGCTAGGATAGGTGGTGATACCTGCCTTTGAGGATTCACTCAAACTGAGAGCTCCCGTTCCAAGAGAGCAATCACAGCCTGCCTTTCTCCTTATATAATTGAGCCCAATCCTACAGCTATTAATGTGTCCAGTCTCTTACTTATCACAACTTGGGCTTTTCATTTACCCCTCTGTCATCATGGTTGTGTGTGGTGGGCTGTGTTTTTGTGTTACTGGGGACTGAATTCAGGAATGTGCCACCACTGAGCTACATCTCCATCCCTTTTTATTCTATTTTGAGACAGGATTTCTGTAAATTCCCCAGGCTGGGCTTGAACTTGCAATGCTCCTGCCTCCTGAGTCACTGGGATTACAGGCACATGTCACTGCTTGTATTTTAAGCTGTAACACAATTTTCTTCTCTGTCCTCTAATTTTTAAAAAATATTTTTAGTTATAGATGGACATGATACTTTATTTTATTTATTTTTATATGGTGCTAAGGATCGAACCCAGTGCCTCCCACTTGTTAGGCAAGCGCTCTGCCACTGAGCTACAATTCCAGCTCCTATTCTCTAAATTTTAATCCCTATGTAAACTCATTCCTGCCTCATCTCTCAGCAGTGACTCGTCCTCTCCTCACCAGGGCTCCTCCTTGTCATGCTGTTTGCTACCAGTGCTTTTAAGTGATATGTTTTGTGGTTGTACTTGGAAGTGTGGTCCAGGGAAGGACACAGAGTGGGGAGAGTGGCCAACAAAATTCTGGAAGTTCTTCTCCTGACTGATTTCTGAGGGCCATTTTCCTCCTTTAGCTGGAGCACTGGCACTTTTGTCAAATGTTGAGGTCCAACTGGAAGTAGCACCATGTTTACATGCCTGACTTTCTTCATGGGGTTCTGTGGCACCTCAGGGCTCACGCCTTCGCATCCTCATCTTCAGATCAGTGGGTTTTCATATGCCATCTCCCCTTCAGGCTCTTGGTAGTGTTATCTCATGGTCAGGTCAGACAGGGTTGGCTGGGGCCAAACAAGCCCCCGAGTGAGCATACAATTTGTAAAGAGTTATATCCACTGAAGGAGGACAAGTACTAGAGGAAAGGCTTACGCAGAGGTCATCAGAAGCCAGGGCTTTAGTTGACTTGGGGCAAATGATTGATAACACTAAGGTCCAACAAGATAGTATGAAAGGTGGCAGGAATATAACAGATTTAGATTCTCCCCATTTAAACTGCACCTAATATATGTGTAGGTCCTAATTCCTCACTATGTCATATTGCAATTAATTCTATGAGAACAACGCATAGTCCTAACTAGATGGCCAAAGAAACTGAGATGTGGCAGGTTTAAACAACATGCCCAAGTCATAAAGTTACTCACAGAGTGACTGAGGTCCTTTGATTTCAAGTTTTCCCCTTACCTTTGTGACCCTGAACAATCAAGGATCAGGTAATATTTGGAGAAGGAAGCAGTGGGTAGGCAATGGACATTAGGGGACTATGAAAACTAAATTCTTTGCAGGGCTGGAAAGTTATCCTGAGGCACCATAGTTACCTGAAGTAGGGTTGACTGGGTCTCAGAAAAAAGAAACCTTTTTTWAAAAAAATATTTTTTTAGTTGTAGATGGAAACAATGCTTTATTTTGTTTATTTATTTTATGTGGTGTTGGGGATCAAACCCAGGGCCTCACACATACTAGGCAAGTGCTCTACCACTGAACTATAATCCCAGCCCCACGAAGCCTGGTTTTAAGAAGTGAGGTCCAAGGTCATATCCAGACTAGCTGATGATATAATGGTGAGTCACTCAGGGTTTCCAATGTCCTGTCTGCCTGCCTACAGATGGGGTGCATGCTAGAGCCTACACCTAGGTAGGATGGGATATGGGAAGAAAAGGCATCTAAAAACTAAGCCTCTCCCCTTGGGAAGAGAAAGCCTAATGAGAGCAGAGAACCAGAAAGATCTTGTTACCTAGAAAGTCACACTATCTAACTCTCATATCCAGACCTTTCAGGGTCTCAGTTCCCTTATCAACAAAATGAAAGAGGTAGGTTAAGCAATATCTAGGATGCTTGTTAACTCTAAATTTATCTGTGGTTTTCTCTAAGAATCTAATTTTCCACTTTATCTTTAATCAGGCGTAAATGAAGTAGGTGGAGAGATATTTTTATGGTTGGGGGTCTGAAATTACACCATATGGATAGTTATCAAGCTATGGGTACTTGAAGGTCATCCCCCAAATTTACACATTTGGGGACAATCTCTTGATTATAAAATTATAGGTTTATTTATGTAGTTTAATAGATCACTTCTAGTTTTGTCAAACAGTAGTCATTTAACCACACACTCATTGTGATATTTAACTCACTAAATTGCCCAGACTGGCCTTGAACTTGCAAACCTCCAGCCTCAGCTGCCTGAATCACTGGGATTCCAGACATGCACCACCACACTCAGTTTTTCCACTGAACTCTTTTAATATCATACATTAGTCTCTTTAACCAAAATGACATCTCTTCACTCGAGTAAATCTCATATTGTGGTTAGAATATCTTTTAAGTTCAAAGACCTTTAAGCTTAAATTGTGAAAGGAGAAATTCTAACATGTGAAGTGTCACAGATGGAGCCGTATGACCTTGAAGAATCAATCAGTCAAGGCAGATTTATTCATGTCAGAGGTTTAGGAGAGACTTTCAAAGAAAGCAGCCAGTGAGATAGCACTGACTTCTGATTTAAAAGTGTGCATATGGATGCTGCCATTCATGCATTATATGTGCTCTTCATTCTCTTGGATCATGACCTTTCTTTCTTTCATGTGCCTGAGTGGATGCAGCATTTGGTGAGGTGGGAAAAAGGAGCTGTTGTCAAATCTTCACTGCATTTTTCATTTAAAAACTTCTAGGTTTCTGCCTCCTGCACTCCCCCCAGTGAACTTGTTTTCCAAGATGCTGACTGCATCATTTTCCATCGCTGTGGTGGCTTATGCTATTGCGGTATCTGTAGGAAAAGTCTATGCCATCAAGCACGACTATACCATTGATGGGAACCAGGTATGCGAGCCCTTTGCTGAGCTGCTTTTATAGAGCAGAAAATAAGAAAGAAACATAAACAGGAATAACTTTGATCTCTGCTAAAGAAAGACTTGGATTTTTCCAGCAGTCCTTAATGAGTTGGGTTTTCTCTTGGGCTTCCTAATAAGAAATTATTTTGAAATATGCATGCTGAATCACTTTGCTTTTTTAAAAAAATATTTTTTAGTTTTAAGTGGACACCTAGCATGCTTGAGGCACTGAGTTTGATCCTCAGAACCATATAAATATATTGTATCCACTGAGCCACAACCCCACCCCCAAATCACTTTGCTTTTTAATAGGTTGAAATAACCCTAATCTTAAAAGAGCTAATTCAATCAGGACACAACGAACCCTCAAAGTTATCATGTTAGATCAGAATGAGAACTCTTTCTGGTCATTTCTTTTTTAATGGCAGCACAATATGACAAAACAAGGTAAAAATACAATTAATAGCTATGACCACTTTATGTTGTGGTAGTTCACAGTGCAATTAATAAATACAGGACAATTTTTGTAAGCATCTGATACCTTGTCAGGTGACTGCAGGTTTTGTGGTTGGATGTTTCTGAAAGCAGCATAGCAATTACAGCTAAATGACTAGTAATCAAGCAGAATAATAGCTCTGCTAGTTATATTATGTTTTATAGCAAATATCCAAACACAGAAAAACTTTTTATGAGAGTTGCAGATGTGCTACTCACCAGACAGTGTAAAAGCATCTTAGCAAAGGATCACAAGTTACTATTTCTTGTCAACCTTTAGTACAATCAACAACTGTGAAGTTTCTTTTAGATTCTATGGAGTCCAAACCCCAGATGTCTTATAAGATCCTCATATAACTTTAAATGTAAAAATGAAATTGGACCACCAGGCAGGATTGATTTAGCAGTTTCCTTTGAACATGAGGTGAGGGTCTTGCAAAGAGTCTATTTGTAGTATTACGTCATCCATTCTCTCCCTTAGGAATTCATTGCCTTTGGGATCAGCAACATCTTCTCAGGATTCTTCTCTTGTTTTGTGGCCACCACTGCCTTGTCCCGGACAGCTGTCCAAGAGAGCACTGGGGGAAAGACACAGGTATGGAATGACAGCAGATAATATTAATCACATAGAACAAGCCAAGGAATGGCAGCTCAGAAAGGCTTGCGGCAGTTGACCTTTGAGAAGAGAGGGACTTGTGTTTCCTCATTGGATCCAACTTGGGCCTGTTCATCTGTTTGAATCACCCCCATCAAAAACCTCTTGAAAAGCAACATTTATGATTTCCTGAGATGGCAATTCTTATAAACCTTTGTGTCAATGCTCATGTAGCATTGCACTTGGAGTAATTTTCTAGGGACATTGGCTACTGCCAAGGATGGGGATGAAGAATGCTGGTTGTTAGTAATTTCTAACCTGGGGAAAGTGAAGGCCCAGTAAAAGCACTTCATGGCTTTGTGTTATTATGCTTTCAGGAAAGTGAAAACTTCTCTCACATTTCCTTTACCAGGATCAGGAACCTCCTCCAGAGGCCTTTGGTCCCATAGAATAGGAGTTTGCTAGCCAAAAATATCTTGTATTGTCACATTTTGGCATTTATTCCCGAGTTTGATTTTTGTTCTTGAAGTTCTGAATGTGTACTTAATCTTGCCTTTTTAAATGTGGCTGTCAGTTGTCTTCATGAGATGACCATAGAACCAGCATCCCACTTAATCTTTGGATAACCCCTCAGTCCCAGTGAGTCAGAAAGCTCAGGAATGGTTCTCAAAGCCAGGCACAGAATCAGATATGCCAAACCAGTGACCTTGGGCTAGGGACAGACTTAGGAATTGTGCCTCTTTTATGCCTGAAGGGTTTTATTCTCCCAACACAGGAAGAAGCATTATTTAAAAGTAAAAGTGCATTCAGACTCTAAAAGTAAAACAGATCCAAACTAAATAGTGTAAAACACACACAGCATCTTCTTACAGCATTTTATTAAGGCAGACACACACACACACACAAATAACTATGAAAGAGAACAACTGAGAAAACAAAAGACTCCAACAGTGGCTTGCCTAGAGAGAGTTTTAATTGTCCCCATGGTACACAGGTTGTTCCTCTCCTATTTATAATGGATTGTGATAATTACAGAGTTGGAAGAATTGACCGCTTCCAATGTCTGGGCTCCTTTGAAACAAAAATTTATTGTTAATTCTCAGAATTTTTCTTAAATTGTTTTTGCAAGCATTTCTACCTCTGAGGGAGCAGGTAAAATAATATAGTCCAAACCAGGAGGCATAACCAGCCAGAGATCTGTTGTTGAGGGGAAGAGGTCAGAGCTAATTTCCAAAGCTGTGCCCATTTTATGCCGCAGCTGTCAGCAGCAGAAGTTCTTGCTGCTTGCATTGAAGACAGAGTATTGACAAGCTCTCCAGGGCACGTAGTCCTAAGAGGGTGCAGGCAAATCCTGAACTGCTGGTGTCCATTCTCCTGCTGTTTCCTCCAAACACAGAAAAACTTTTTATGAGAGTTGCAGATGTGCTGCTCACCAGACAGTGCAAAAGCTCAAATGAGTCATGGGCTGGCTGCCCCAGTAAGAATGCCCATGGAAAGTGACCTTCTTGGCAAAGGGCTTGGGGGATAATGGCATTCTGGTAAGCTAATATCCTCTGCCACACACTGGCGTGTATTATATTTAGGAATGATGGATGCCAGGATTTCAGCACTGAAGAAGGAAACAAGTGTAGAAATGGCTTGATATTTAATTACTGAAATGTATTCTAAGTTCTGGGGTTCAATGTCTATGTGCCTGGACTGTGACCAAATAAACTGGCAGGTCTTCTCTTGTGTGGCTTCTCATATTTTTTTTTTCTTCTGTTGAAGCCTCAGTTTCAGCACCTATAAAATGGACTAATAGTTGTATCCATCTATAGGAACAGTGAGAGGATTAGATTCAGAAGTGTTTGTGAAGCAAATACCAGTAGGTGCTGATTGCTGGGCTCAAGGTAGGAATGGCATCTTAGCACCTATGATTCATGTATTTTTCCTGGCATGTAAGAAGCACCTAGCATATATTAGCTGAAGGAATGAATAGAAGAAAAGGGTTTTCTCAGTTCTCTTTCATAGTTATTTGTGGTGTTTTCAGCACATCTCCACAATGTAGAAGAGCTGAACATTGGCCATGTGTTCTTTCTCTCACTCTATCTTACTCCTATCGATTCATAAAAAAAGTAATTCTGATTACAAACTACTCTGTAGCTCTGATTACTCTCTCACTTAACAGAATAATTAATTCCCTGGTAATTGAATCTGCTCATAGATATAAAATATCTACAGAGTTTCCCACAAGCCAGCCTTTATACCATAAGTACAAGTAATTGATCCCTCACAGATCTTAACAGTGTTCAAAACTAGCCTAGACCCCCATATTTGGAGACTTATTATATATACTGGTGAATAGAGGATGCTTTCTTGTCCTGAGTTGGGCAGCAGGCTATGGTTCCTGTCTGCAAATCTCCATCTCTCTCACCGTTTCACAGATGCCTTTATCTACAGTGAGATGCAAGTGGCTCAGTGAATAGTGCATGAGTCATTGGAAAGGTACTAACTTCTTTGCTTAGTTAGGAAAGAGGAAAGCTCACCAAGGTGCTGGGAACCTGGAGGCATGGTGCCCGGAAAGGCATAGAGTAGGGAGCTCGATAAACAAAGTGAGCATTTTCGTACATCACAGGTATGCCCAGACTGACCCAGCCATAAGCTGAACATAAATGAACATAAGCTGAAAATCATTTGCCAGTTGAAGCAAATACTTTCTAATTAAGTATGCTAATTTCCTTTTTCTATTTGCTGTGACTGCCTCCTCCTTTAACTCAGATCTCTTGTACTAGGCAATGCTTGTACTCAACACCATCTTCCCTGTTGATTCCTCTCTGACAGCTTTGCTTCTGGTTTCCTGTCTTCTTTTCTCCTCTGTTTCAGAGCTTCTAGTCTCCACCTTGGCCCTGCCCCAGCTGTCTCAAGAGAGAATTCATTGGTCATCTGATCAAACCAGAGAATAGTCCCCCGCCCCCTCAGTCTCTCTCCTATCTGTGGACCTAAGGAGAGCTCTTTTTTATTTTCCAGTGAAGGTAAAATTTCTGGACTTCTTTACCCCTGCTATTGCTCCACACTGCAGCTGCTTTGGGGGCAAATTTGGAGCCTGCACCTATGCAAATATCAGAGGAAGCAGGAGACAGGGTCCCACCTCTCAGCATGCCAGTGTGGCACTATGAATTGGCAATTGAATGGATAAATTTATTTTCTCTGAGACTTTCATGGGAACCGTGTCCTACAAGTACAACATGTTATCAGAGTGGCTATTGTGGTCACTGCTTCAACAGTGTAAAACAATCAGATACCTGCTGTGAGATTTATTTCCCAAGAACATGATAATAATCTCTGTTGTTAGGGAGGGAGTTGGTATGTTTCATGGCTTGGCAACTACTAGAAGGTTGGCCTCCAGAATTGACACTAAAACTATAGGTATAATCTATCCGATGAAATCCACATTAAAGTAGCTTTACTTCAGCAGGCCCACTTTCCACATTTTCTTTAATTTCTCTGCAATAGCATACACACACACACACACACACACACACACACACACATTTCCACACATATATATGTTTTTCCTTTTTTTTCAGTTTTGTATTGATTTAGCAAATGATGCTCTTTTCTCCCAATATTGAGCAGAAGCTGGGGGAGGAGAGGAATCAGAGAAGCACCAAATGAGCCTGTATGCAGGATCTTTCATGATCATGTGGTGAGCTGAAAGACACTAGGGAGGAGGATGAACCCTCTTCATGCAAGGTGTATGTCTTTCAGATTGCTGGCATCATCTCTGCTGGGATTGTGATGATCGCCATTGKTGCCCTGGGGAAGCTTCTGGAACCCTTGCAGAAGGTAAAACCCTGCTTCTCTGTATACTGATTGCATAATTTCCTGTCACCACTCTGCTACCAGAGAAATAACAGGGGATTTAAAAATCATCACATGGAAAGCTATTCCCCTGAATAACACAGCCTTCCCTGTCTCTCTTGGCAGTCAGTCCTGGCAGCTGTTGTGATTGCCAACCTGAAAGGGATGTTTATGCAGGTGTGTGATGTTCCTCGTTTGTGGAGGCAGAATAAGACTGATGCTGTAAGTCACCCACCACCCATTCTCTGAAATAAGATTTGGTTTTCGTATGCTTCCTGTCATATCACTAAGTCTCCCCATTTCCTAAATCTTACCTGCACTTTGGAAACCTCAGAGCAGAAATTAGAATTGTGTGTATAAACAAAAGCCTTGATGTATTCTATGTGAACTGCATTAGTGAAGCTCCTCTATCTCTGAGAAGACTGATTTCTAACAAGAATCCCATATAAGGCCCTGGGCCTTCTCAAGCCAAAACAAAGCAAAACACAACACACCACATTTTCTTTAAAACCTAGTTTAAAGGACAAATTTGAAAAAAAAAACACAAAAACACAAAAACAAAATACAAAACCCCATGCTGACTTTGTGACTAAAGTGCCCTTCACAACTATTCTGAGGAATTACAAAAGCCAGAAATGAGTCCTCTACAGTTTACTCTAATTTAGACACACACATGCACAGAGAAAACTTCCTATATATTGATGTGTAAAAAAGAGACCAGAATAGAAATGCTGGGGAAAAGTGTGTGTGTGTACGCGTGTGCGCATACACACAAAAATGAAGAGACTACGTGTAGGGAGGGTGATTGGGAATGGGTGGAGAGAGGAGAGAAATTGTGAGCAAGAGTTTTCACTGTAAAGCTCTTAAAATTAATTCTCTTTTGAGCCCTATTCAAATATTTAAAAACAAATAAAATGGGACAGTTGGTCTGTATAGGGAAGGCCAACTCCAGTTTCACTTAAATATGAATAAATGGATGGATAAAATGAATGATGTCAGAATATTTTTTAAAAGGTATAATTGTGAATGATTGATTTTATTGTTATAGGTAGCCTAACATTTGACAGTACCCTATGAATCAATGTAATTCTTTTCATTTCCATTCCCCTGTAGGTTATCTGGGTATTTACATGCATCATGTCCATCATTCTGGGGTTGGACCTGGGCTTACTAGCTGGCCTTCTATTTGGACTATTGACCGTGGTCCTGCGAGTTCAATTGTGAGTATTTAAAATCCAGATTTTCTATGAATGGGACAACACATCCTCTACTTTCCTATGTTTACATGAAACTTCTTCCTTTGATAATAGTTATTATATATTGAGAGATTCTATGAATTAAGCACCTAGTGCTTTATAAACTTTACCATACTTAATTTTCAAAAATATCCTATGAATAAGATGGCTTATTCTCATTTTACAGGTTAGAAAATTTAGGCTCAGAAAGTCAAAGGACCTTTCCTAAGGTCACACCGTTACCAACTGGCAGAGCTAAGATCTGAACCCAGATTACCTAACCCCAAAGTCCAGGCATGTAGTCACATGCTCCACGGCTGTGCTCTCCTTTTAGCCATGGTCAGACTAAAAGAAACATGGTTCAGCCAAAGTCCCAAGTTACTTTGTCATTTTTTTCTTTAAATAAGATGCAAGGTGGGCACTGGGTCCAAGGTCAGGCAAAGCAACTGCTAAATTTATAGCTCATTTTCCTCTTTTGAAGCTAGTAACCCAAAAGTTATGCAACCCAGTACAAGGGAACTTTAGAACAGCTAATTATAGCCAAAATTCATTCAAATCTGTCAAATAAGGCACAAACCCCAAAGTCACACAATTCTGAGAAGTAAACATAATTAGTTCATATACAGAGTAAAAGCAGCAAACACAAGTTAAATAAAGGAAAACAATCTGTGTGGGCAGGTCAGGGAGTTTGAAGGTGTCCTTGGTTTTATTTTGACTCTGGAGAGGGTTTGGTAATGTGTCCTCCTAGGCCTTGAGGGAAACAGAGCTTCTCTCTCTCCTCAATTCTCCCATTGTCTTTCCAGATTTCTGGCCTCTTCTCTGCCTGTGTTTGGGCCATGAAGGAAGAAGAAACCTGGAAAAACATCAACATAGATGTTTTCAGCTTAGCAAAGGCTCACATCTCCTATTCCTTCAACAGTTCTTCCTATCCTCCCTCCCTTCCCTAGCATTTCACATCTACTCAAAAGGCCTGTGGCTTTCTGCCTCAGCATCCTAGGAGCCCAGGGACCTGAAAGGGCACATAATGTTCCAGAGTGCCTCATTTTCTGCTAGGAAATAGCTCAGAAATTGCCATTAGAAGATGCTGCCTTTCAGTCAAGCAAAGTAGATATATCTGTAATCCCAGGGACTCGGGAGGCTGAGCCAGAAGAATTGCAGGTTTGAGACCAGCCTTAGCTACTTAGCAAGACCCTGTCTCAAAATAAAAAATAAAAACGAACTGAGGTGTAGCTTAGTAGTAAAGTACCCATGGGTTCCATCCCCAGTGCTGCAAAAAAAAAAAAAAAAAAAAAAAGAAGAAGAAGAAAGAAAGAAAAGAGGGTGTGGGAATGCTATGTCTCTTCCTGTATCTGCCTCAGTGTCTTTTTCTTTTCTTAAGTGAGTGTGGTTGAGACAGAAGGGTTTTGGAGAGGAAGACTACATTAAGAGTATTATGTTAAAGATCAGCACAACACAGCAGGCCAAGGAAAAATTGGTGGTACATTTTAGCTGTTGGTTTGGTAACTAGACTTTTAGCCATCAAAAAGTAGTATTTAATTTTCAGTAATTATAATGCTGATCCAGAAAGCACAATGCTGAAAGGACCCCAAACAGATAGTCTTTCTTTAGGAGTTACATTTAGCATATGTCCCTAGTCACACTTGAAGAAACGTGGAATTTATCTGATTGCATTGGGAACAGGAAATCAACAGTCTGGTTGACAGGAAGGACTTATTTCTGGTCTTCCCAGGCTGCTGTTTCTATAAAAAGAGACTAATTTGATCACCCGCAGATTCTCCATATTTCATCAGGAAGTTGCCATAAGTCACAGATAAGTACCAGACACCAAAGAAACATGGTTAAGAGACAGAGGCTATGCTGTTCTTTACCCCTGGGCCTTTTCTAATTTCTCTAAACCTCATTTTACTCACTAATAAAAGTAAGAATTGCACCACTAATCTTTCAAGGTTATGGTAGAGCTTCAAATAGATTTAACATGTGAGAAAGCTCTCTGCTTATCCTATAAATTGTTAGGCACGTGAAAGCATGATGCTCATTATTTCTCTGAGCTATCAGAAGAGAGTCACAGTTAGTTCCTTTTCCAGTTCCACGAAAACACCAGCTGTTCATTTCAGAGTTAGTTTTGGGAAAATGTCACCTGCAATAAAGACAGAGTCCAAAACACCAGAATGATGGGCTCCTCAGTAGCTGTTATTTAGAAAAAAAAAAAAAAACAACTTCTTAGTGCAAAATATGGCTGTTCCAAAAAACCCCTGATGTTAACTTCTCTTCTTTTAGTCCTTCATGGAATGGCCTTGGAAGCATCCCTAGTACAGACATCTACAAAAGTATCAAGTATTACAAAAATGTAAGTGCCTTTGTGATATTTTTGGTAGATATGGGTCTGCTAGCCTGCAATCCAGGAGTCACATAGTTCTCTCTTATCATGTTCATAACATGGTGGTCAAAGATGGAGACTTCTGCTGGGAAAGTCCCTAGTATACTGGAAATGTCATAAGAACTTTTGATTCAATGTATCCTTTGACATATGGATTATTTGAACTCTGTGCTAGTTGAATGTTATTTTAATGTAAAAACCATTACAGGAATAAATTTTAAATAATAGGCAATTTGATTATTCCCGGATGTTTAATCAAAAATTTTTTTCTCTGTTATGTAACTATTAGCCTCTATGAAAATGCCTGAAATCCCTGTAAGATGTTCTTCTTTCAGTTCTAGCAAGAGATTTTCAAGTTCTCTGTCATCAAGAGCTTATTTGATATGTTGCTTTATCCTTGAAATTGGGAGAAATATTGGGACACAGGAAATGAAAAACAAACAAATCAAGCTGATGGGCTTGTGTTGCCTGCAAATACAATTTCTTAGTGACCACTAAAGGAAACAGATGAAAAAGTAGAAAAAGTAAATTAAAGAAAACAGAAATTTAGCAACAAACAAATAAAACAAAACCATGCTTATGCATATTTATATATGTATATGCATATATGCATATGTGCATATATGTAACATATAAGGCATAAATGTGAGCCCTAGGAAGTTATAGTCTAATTTTATGTTAATATTAAAGAATTACTGGACACTGAACCTGGAATTTCTGTAGCTGCTATTTTATTTTCACAATCTTTTTGTTATGTTGAACCAAGTGCATCAAGAGCTAAAAATGATTTTGGACTCTGGCGCAGGGAACCCTAGCCTGAATTTTGGGAGTTCTAAAATCTAGGCTCCATCTTGGTGAGACTGTCCAAGTCACTCAGCCTCTCAGGGCCTCAATTTTCTCACCCAAAAGGGCCAGATTAATACTGCTATGATTCCTAAAGAACAGAAAAGCCTGATTCTGATTCTGTGGATTCTACTCTTTGCATGGCCACTGTGTGTCAGGGCACGAATAAGCAGATGACACCATAGGCTTCAGTTTCTACAAAACCCTGATTTTGCCCCCTGCCTCTCAAACTACTCAAAGAATTTTAGAAAAATCTAGAGGGTCAGTGGTATGAACTGGAGACAAATCATTTCACCATTTTGAGCCCCAGTTTCTTTGTGCCCTTTCAGACTTGACCTTTTTTGGTATTGTGGAAGTCCCGGAGCTTTGGCCATCTGTTACTTCCCAAATAGGATGAAGCAAGTCCCTATTTGTGGGAATTTGAGTGTTGGGTATCCATCTCTTGGGACTCCTCATCTTTGAGAGCTTTCTTTTCTTTCTTTCTATTTTGATGATTTGATGCCAGAATTATTTAACCTCAAAAAGTTTTTTTTTTTTTTTTTTCTCAAATGCCAGATTGAAGAACTTGAAGGAGTGAAGATTCTTAGATTTTCGAGTCCTATTTTTTATGGCAATGTCGATGGTTTTAAAAAATGTATCAAGTCTACAGTAAGTGTTTGATCCCTCAAAGTCTGGTTTCTAACCTTGAGATTTCACTCATTTATTTATTGGGCTCCAACTGGGAATAAGGCCCTATGCACTATTCCTTTTATGATGGACATTTTATATAATATCCTTCTCCTCAAAAACTATATATAKAGAGAAAAATAAGTGGTTTACCATCTATTGGGAATTTTAATCCACATGTTAATCTAGCAACAATTGCCAGGCAAAAAACGCTAAAGGTGAGTCCAGTTAGAATTTAGTGAATTCTAAACAAATAGCATAGAAAGTGTTAAGTGCTCCTTTGTGGACTGCTGGCTACACTACCGGGACAGGACTGGCGAGTTGGGCCAAGTTCCCAGGATGTTATAATCGCTGCGGGCACCAAGGAACTGTAGCCACCCAGGAGCCGCCCAGGGAGTGGCCACAGGAACCTGCACTGCTGCCCTGGGCCGCTGCCTAGGACTTTGGGATTCCAACAGGCAGAAGGTCAGGTAGCAGAGTTTTTTGCGGAGTTTTCCAGAGGCGATGTAAATTGTGTTGTGCAACAGACTGCCCAGAGGAGCACATAGGGAAGGCAGATATCAAAGAGATAAACAACTATGCAAAACAATGCCACTGTTGTAAATATTTTTATTTGGAAAAATAGTTTCCTTCATTAAAAATAAAACGTATTTTTGTTGACACATATTGGGTTTATTTTGATTATTTTAAATTAACAAATAGTTTTAAAAGTGAAAAAATGTTCATAGAAGGGAGTTGGACAAACTAGACAGCTGGGATAAGGAAAAGAGGATCATGTCAGGTGCTTGGGAGTCATGTGAGCATCTCTAAACTTCGAACTTAAACTTGGAATTTGCCTCTGCATCAGTGTTTTCCTAAGCGAGCTCCAGGGCAAACTGGTTCAGAGGAATGTTCATAGAATTTGCAAATAACAAAAAGGCTCTGTGATGTAACAGAAATTTGGAAAAGAGAGTTTTAAAGCTAAGAGATTACTTTTTGCCATTTTGTCTTTTTTTTTTTTTTTTAACTCTCTTGGAACTTTTAATATGCTGTTGTCTTCCCCAAGTCTCTGGTGGGGGTTGGGTGACCTGGTAGTAGAGGGGATCTACTCCATCAGAATGCACAATTTCTTTTTTGGCAGGGTGTCTCAAAGAAACAATATCTTTTGAGAAATAACTGTTCAGATAACAATTGGCACTAATGAGCATTGGGAACCAGAGATTTTAAGTAACCTGACATTTATCTCCAAAGGTTGGATTTGATGCCATTAGAGTATATAACAAGAGGCTGAAGGCATTGAGGAGAATACAGAAACTCATCAAAAAAGGACAGTTAAGGGCAACAAAGGTGAGGCTCCATCTTTCTTCCGCCCCTTAAATTATTTTTTTTAAACCTTTATTTATTTATTTTTATGTGGTGCTGAGGATCAAACCCAGTGCCTCACATGTGTCAGGCAGGCATTCTGCCACTGAGCCATAACCCCAGGCTTCTCCCTTAAATTTTTTCCTTTCTCCATGAAAGCAGTCAGATGATATAAAATTAAATCTATCCCCTTTAGAATCCAGATGTGTAGGAACGGATGACATATGTATGTCAGAGAACAGCTGAGCTGTCCTTGTAGGCAAGAGGAATGGGTGGGAATAAAATGAAATCAGCAGGGCTCCCTCAAAACACAGGGTGTGATTTTTTTTTTCAGCACGAACATCATCTGCATTAATTTTAAAACCTTATTTTAAAAATAAGGGTTTTTCTTCAAAAATAATTTTAAAGGAACAAAAGTAATAATTTAATGCCAGAAAATTACAATAAAAGGCAGTAAGTTCATAAGCTTTCAGAGCTATTAACTTCTGCTTAGATTTTCCTACCATTATCTCTCTTGACAAAGTTCTGTTATCTTCCAGAAATCTAGAATATTTTGACTCCTTGTTTTTCCATTTTTTCCTAGAGAACACCAAAGTTTGGGCTGAGGTAAAATTCTTTCCTTAAAAGCTCATTCCCTTGCTGGGTGTGGTGGCACACACCTGCAATCCCAGTAGCTCGGGAGGCTGAGGCAGGAGGATTGCAAGTTCGAAACCAGATTCAGTAACTTAATTTAGCAAGATCCTGTCTCAAAATAAAAAAAGCTGGGGATGTGGCTCAGTGGTTAAGCACCATGGATTCAATCCCTCGTACCCCCCACCCCTGCCACAAAAAAAGAGTTCATTCTCTTGACATTTTTGTTTACCAAGGAACACTGTATGCAGGACTTTTAAATAATTTGAAATGAATGGCTGAAAGACATTTCAAATCAATGGCAATTAAGTTGGCAGAGTTTTCTTTATTTAGAATGGCATCGTTAGTGATGCTGGTTCATCAAATAATGCTTTCGAGCCTGATGAAGATATTGAAGATCCTGAAGAACTTGATATCCCAACCAAGGAAATCGAGGTTCAAGTGGATTGGAACTCTGAGCTTCCAGTCAAAGTGAATGTTCCCAAGGTACCAATCCATAGCCTTGTGCTTGATTGTGGAGCTGTATCTTTCCTGGATGTCGTTGGAGTGAGGTCATTGCGGCTGGTAAGATTCTGTTTATTTGAACTATAAATGTGGAGATTTGACAAGAGTAAAATGGGTTACCCTGTTTTGCAAAAGAGTTAATGCATGGGCTCTATAATTTTTCCAAGTGAATACTTTTGTGATAGAATGCAATATTTTTTATTTTATTAGAGCAGTATAGTTTTACATAGAAGCTGGGTTCATTTTAACAAAATTTATGCATTTGATTTACTCCATTTCAGTCCCGATTCCCTCTTCCTATTTTCTTCTTTCCCTCCACCCTCTTCCTATTTTCCTTCCTCTACTGATCTTCCTTACATTCATTCACTTATTTTTTAAAAATATTCTGTTGTTGTTGTTGTTGTTGTTGTTAGACCTTTATTTAATTTATTTATTTATATGTGGTGCTGAGAATCGAACCCAGTGCCTCACACATGCCAGGCCAGCGCTCTACCACTGAGCCACAACCCCAGCCCCATTCACTTATTTTTGATTGGTGCTTTCTACATATGCATAAAGGTTTAAATTCCCTGTGATATACTTGCATATGCAAATAATGTGATTCTGTTAAATTCGTTCCACATTTCCTCCCCTTTCCCTTCCCTCCTTCCTCCCCCTTGATCTCCTTCTTCTAAAGGGTGTGATATTTAAAAGCATAAGCTCTGGAGCCAGAGTTGAATTCTGGCTTCATCACTAGCACTAGCAGTGTGACCTTGAACAAGTTGCTTGATGTGTCTGTGTCTCTATTTCTTCATTGTAATAGAGGGGTGGGTAAAGATTGTATCTGCTTCACTGAAGTGTTATGAAGATTAAATAAGATAATAAATGCAAAGAATTTAGAAGAGTGACTGGCACATACGTACCCCTTAGCAATTATGAATATTTAGAAGAGTGACTTCTTTTTTGTACAGGGAATTGAACCCAAGGATCTACTACCAATGAGCTATATCCTCAGACCCTTTTTTATTTTATAAATATTTTTAATTGTAGATGGATACAATAATTTTATTTATTTATATGTGGTGCTGAGAATCAAAACCAGTGCTTCAATACATGCCAGGCAAGTTCTCTACCACTGAGCCACAACTCCAGACCTTTTTTTGTTTCTTTTTGAGACAGGTTCTGGCTAAGTTTCTTAGGGCCTTGCTATATTGCTGAGGCTGGCCTTGAACTYGCAGTCCTCCTGCATCAGCCTCTCAAGGTGCTGGGATTACAGGTGAATACCACTATACCCAGCTATGAACATTTATTGTGTTTTATTTTTCTGAGAATGTATAAGAAATGGAATATGAAAAGAAGGGAAAATGGGCAAAGTTTGTGTCATTATTATTCTACTTTTTATGTGAATAGCAGCAGTATAAGGAACACCAAGTACATGGTAGGACTCGAAAAGCCAGGCATTATTAAGAGGTTAGAATAGTCAGGCATGTAGGAAGTCAAGGCAAGAGTTGAGAAGCATGCAGGGTGAAAACATTCATGATTTCAGAAAGCAGTTATGCAAGTTCAAGTTCACATCTTCTTTCAAGTAGATGTTAAATGCCTTATATGTGCTAAGCACTCTTCCAGGCACAAGAGACTAGTGATGAAGTAACCATGGTCTCTACCCTCATGGGACTAAGCAGTCTAGGAGGGAAGGCAAACATTAAGTAATCTTATAATTTAACAACTGTATTAAGTGCTCCGAAGAAGTCTTTAAAGAGAGTGTCACCTTTAGGTTTCAAGTTTAGGTGAAACTTCCGGTAGACATCAAGATCTCTGTTATGAATATATCAATGTCAGAATCTTGACAGTATTTTTTGTATTGTAGTTTTATGAAATATTACTATTGGGAGAAACTGGGAACAGGGTACATAAAATCTCTCTACTATTCCTTACAACTACATTTACAATGATCATAAAACATTTAATCTTAAAAAGTCAATGCACTAGAACTATGAGCAATATATTCTATATAATCATCATTGTATTTGAAAGCAACTATTAAAATATGGGAAATATTCTGGCATTAACTATGTTAGACTTTCTTTAAAAGTAATTCATTAAACCCTTGGGCCGTTACAATCTAAGGTGGATCTAAACCAATGCTTAGAGTGAAATGAACAACAAAGAACAAATGTGTGTTCTCCAGTGAGCTAATAACCATATGTGCTAAGAGAACAGAACCTTTCAGCATATTCTCACACACTTTTGCCAAGCATAATTACTTCCCTATCTTACCTGCATAGTACTCACACCCTGGAATTATTTCCTGTCCTTGCAGATGTAGCCCCAAAGCCCCCAGCTAAGCTAAACCTCTGTTAGAAATCTGCTTCATATTATTACATCTGATTGTCATGCCTTAGTCTGCTTACCTTTCTGATGCTTACCTGTCTGATGTTACAAATTTGTTTTTACTTTTAGATTGTCAAAGAATTCCAAAGAATTGATGTGAATGTGTACTTTGCATCACTTCAAGGTAAGTGTATCTATGTGCCAATCTATAAGACTTTTCCCTAAGTCCTTTCTCTCCTACCTTGGAATATGGGCACATAATGTCTGAAGGTCTTTAAAAAAAAAAAAACTCTTTAATATTGTTATAAAGAATGTGTAAGAAAATTTGCCATTTTAGTCACTTTTAAGTGTAGAGTTAATCCACTAGCATTCGTTATCTTCACAATATTTATAAACATCACTATTTCCAGAATTTTTCATCTTCACAAACAGAAGCTCTGTACCAATGACACAGTAATTCTGAGAACATTTTTTATGTCAAAGATAATACCTTGAATTTGTGTCACAGAGCTGGGAATGTATAAAAACTTACGTGTGTAGGAAAGTGATAATGTTTAGACTGAGTTCTCTAGAAGCAGAGCCTGAGACAGGGATTCTTGCGTTAGTAACTGAAGAAGTGAAGAAAGCAGGACAGGGCAGGAGAGGCTGGTCATGGAAGTAGTTTCAGAAGTTTGACATTAGATTCCTGATTGCATAGGGAGCTCCACAGCAGGAAGAACACCAGAGGTTATGCCGTCTTGAGCAAGGGGCCCACCTTTGTATTCTCATTATAGTTAATCAATGATGCAGATCCCCCTTAGATACAGGTATAGCCTCCAGGCCTCTTCAGGCAAAACAGCTTCTATTGGCCAAGGAAAATTACCCAGAGAAGAGCAGAGCTGTGAACCGTTAGCAGCCAGGCTCACAGCAGCTGGTACACTGATTTGGCAAAAGGTACATGGACTAAGGCCATCTATAAGCAGTTATGGGATAATCATTATGTGTGCTACTGGGAAAAAAAAATCTCAGTCAGTGTAGAAAAGGGTCACATTCTGGAAATGAGAAAGAAAAAAAGAAAGGAGCTACAAAACCAGTATTGATAGATGTTATAAAAATACCTTTCCTATCAACTACTAACCATTATCTCTTTCTTCTGTAGATCATGTGATAGAGAAGATGGAGCAATGTGGCTTCTTTGATGATAACATTAGAAAGGACACATTCTTTCTGACTATTCACGATGCTATAATCTATATACAGAACCAGGTTAAATCCCAAGATGGACAAGATTCCATTTTAGAAACGGTAAGTATTTAATTTTTCTGCATCTGTATCTTTCCTAAACTATCAGGTTTTCTATAAACTGCAAAAATTATACAAATATAGTTTGAAATCCAGCCTAATTGTTGGATTTTAGGCCAGCTGCATAACTTCTCAGAGGCTCAGTTTCTCATCTGTGAAATGGAAGTTAAAATATTTACCTTGCTGAGTAGACATGAGGACTAAATGAGATATTTTATACGAACATACCTGGGATGCCTAGTGTGTAATAGTTCTACGATGTTTGGGTTTACTAATAAAAGTGGGCATTAGCTATAATGCCTTTTTATAAGATAGCACTGAGTCCTGGATCTTCCATGATTTGTATATATAAATGCAAGATAAACTTTAGCAATCTGGAAATCCTTGTATTATAAATATCTTTAAATAGGATCCATTAGTTTATAAGTGATCTTTTAAAAAAAATACTAAGGTCACAAATAAACCCAGGGTGAATTTTCTCCCACAAAACAGAATAGGCCTTAATTTCCTATTGGTTTTATTTTGTCAGTTCTCTTATCAAATATCTAGGAGAGGAGAACATTCTGGTCTAGTTCATTACATAATGCTACTGGTAGGCCTGGAACAAGATCCTCCTTTCTCTTTGACCTTGACCTTTTCACAGTGAATTTGGGAAACTAGCACCAATGCCAACAAAAATAAAGAATATTAAATTGCTTATCATTGTTATAAAATTGGGATAAGTAGATCTTTATTATAGATTGGAAGTTGATGTTTGAAGTAAACTAATTTATAAAGTATTATATATTCTATTTCAGCTTCTGTCAGTGGAGAGGTTGTTTTGCTTAATGGTCCCAGGGAAAAAAGAGAGGCCCTAAATACTGAAGTGTCAATTTTAAATATGAAAAAGTAGTAAAACCATAAATATATTTTTTAAAAATTTACATGGAAGCTGCTCATCTTTGAAAACACATAAACCTTTTTCTATTCAATTTAAAATTCTCTAAGCCAAAGACAAAAAAAAAAAAAAGGATCATATATCTAAAAAAGATTCCACTTTAAAGATAAAAGCAAAACCAAGGTATTGAGTTCTTTATCAACAAGAAAATAGTTATTTTTGTTAACACACAGTTGATCTAAAATCCTAGGCAGTGAATGTCATAAAACCTACTCACCAAGAACTCACCCACCAGGGCTGGGGTTGTGGCTCAGTGGTAGAGCACTTGCCTAGCATATGTGAGGCCCTGGGTTCTATCCTCAGCACTGCATATAAATAAATAAATAGACAGATAAAATAAAAAGATCCATTGACAACTAAAAAATATATATTAAAAAAAAGAGTACACCCACCGTATTAGGCTCCATCTTATTTGCAATCAGAGAGACACTGTGAGTGGCTGGGATGAATTTTTTTTCTCCGAATGTTAGGTTGAGTGTAACTGAATGTTTGCATGACATACTTACTTCCTGGTTCACTGAAGAGTAGGCTGAGCATTACTGGAGGCCTATGAGATCAGGAACCTTACACTTCTGTGTCTCCTTAGGGTCTAGCACAAAGTTCCATACATGATAGATAAATGGTAAATGGTAACAAATCTCACCTGTGCTACTTTCCTTTTTTTCAAGAACAGTCACTTGTATATTAAGGACACTGTAGAAGCAGCAATATGATCCTCTCCTATCCCTTTTCTTCCCCCAGAACAGTCCCAACTTGTAGCTACACTTCACTGTACCTTTCCCATTCTGTCATGACCATAGCAACTTAATCTTTTAATTAATTTCCATACTAAAAAAGAGAAGTGGGTTGTTTGTGAGATGAAAAAGAGCAAACTAGCACCACAAGATGACATTTTATCCTTGGCATGTATTTGGAGTTGCTTTGGAAATGTCCTTCATGCGTTAACCCCTAGATTGTTGTTCTCCCTTATGCAGATTAAATTATGTATTACCCTTAAAAAGCAGAGCTTTCTGGAACAGCCAGCTTGGTCTATAGATTGTTGGTTTCCACCTCCAATAAAATTAATTCCATCCAATTCAAGTTGGGACCATTTAATGACCTGAGTCACGAGCCCTTCACAGTGCATTCACTGCTTGCTCAGTGCTGCACAGAGTGCTCTTAGCTTAGCTGTTGAAAGAGAGCTATTGACTGCTAAGTCCTTTAGGCAGGGGTTGTCCTGTTGAGAGGCATGCACTTCAGAGGTTGGGGAAGACTGCTGAAATGGAATTTGGACAATAGAGAACTCCAGTTCTCTATTTCACACTTGAATGTGAAAAAATCGTATAGGGAAAATGGTAAGGTGGGAAATTAAAAAAAAAAAAAAAAAAAAAACAGAAGAAATCTGAAGAGGATTCTGAAGTCTGGGATTAGAAGCACCGGCAGAGCTTCAAATTTTCAGTGTGGTATCAGGTGGATGAATGCTATTATATTGCCAATAAATACTTTGTGTTCTCTTTGTCAAGATCACCCTCATTCAAGATTGTAAAGATCCTCTTGAACTAATGGAAGCAGAGTTGACTGAGGAAGAACTTGATGTCCAGGATGAGGTATGATACTTATTTTCTCCTGAAGAAAATAATTTGGATTAAATTTTGAGTAAACCGAATAAGGCAAGTAGTGAGTATGTCTGATTAAGAACCTTTCAGGTGACCAGGGTTGTGGCTCAGTGGTAGAGCTCTCTCACCTAGCATGTGCGAGGTCCTGGATTTGCTCCTCGGCACCACATAAAAAAAAATAAGTAAAATAAAATAAAGATATTGTGTCCATCTACAACTAAAAAATAAATATTTAAAAAAAAGAACCATTCAGGGAAAAGAGTTCCAAAAAATATAAAAAGGATGGCTTGAGGGCTGGAGATGTGGCTCAAGTGGTATCGTGCTCGCCTGGCATGCATGCAGCCTGGGTTCGATCCTCAGCACCACATACAAACAAAGATGTTGTGTCCGCCGAAAACTAAAGAATAAATATTAAAAAAAATTCTCTCTCTCTTTCTCTCTCTCTCTCTCTTTAAAATTTTTTTTTTAAAAAAAGGATGGCTTGAAAGGAAGGAAAAATAGAAAACAAGAATTCTCCCTTGAAGACATGAAATACTTGACGACCTTTTGTCTCAAGCATATTGAGATGATCAGCAACTTGCAGTAGCTAATGCACTGCATCTTGATTTTATACCTAACCCAACAAAATATTGCTCAGAGACCTGAGGCCATGGGATAGGGAGAAAGTGAATGGAGGAATTCCTAATCCAGGAATTTCATAAGCTTCAGGAATAGTACATAAGGAATAGAAACCTTACGACTTTTCTTCGTCTGACTGATAATGGCTTAAAAAAGATACTCCTTCCACTGGAGGCCAATTCTATGTATTTCAGATACTCTGTGGCATCGGACTATTCCTAGGAAACTTGCCTGAACTTCCAATGTCTGAATAAGCTTTGTGGTTCCACCCCTGAGTAAAATGGTAGCAACAATGGAATATCATAGAATTTAAAAAAGAACTTTTTTTAGTTGTAAATGGACACAATACCTTTATTTTATTTATTTATATTTTTATGTGATTCTGAGGATCAAATCCAGTGCCTCACATTTGCTAGGCAAGCATTCTACCACTGAGCTACAAACCCAGCCCCAAGATCAGAAAATTTTAAAGCTGGAAGATTTCTTAAAAATGAAGTTAGCTGGGTATATGGTGGCACATGCCTGTAATCCCAGCTATTGGGGAAGTTGAGGCAGGAGGGACATAATTTCAAGGCCAACCTCAGCAGTTTAGCAAGACCCTGGCTCAAAATAAACAGAAAGGGCTAGGGATGAAGGTCAGTTCAGTGGTAGAGTGTCCCTAAGTTCAATCGTCAGTGCTGAAAAAAAAAAGTGGTGCCACATCCCACCCTATGTAGAAGTCCCTCCTGTACCATTCTTGATGGATGTTTACTTTTGTGTGAACGTTTCCAAAAACGGGCAACAAGTGATGCTCAATGGAGTTTGCTACATGGATACAAGTTTCTAAATGTTAGCTGTGTTTACAAAACTGAATTTGGCTTTTCCATAATATCCACCTAGTGAGAATGAGATCTGCCTTCCTTAGCAACACAAACCTTCCCACTTTACAGAGAATAGCTCTTATGTCTCTTCCAGACTCTCCTCCAGGAAAACTCCTCCAATTTCTTCTACTGTTCCTCACAGACATGCATTTGTCTATGATATAGGTTGAGTTGGGGAGTTAATAGTTAATTTGTCAATATTTCACTGTCCAAGATGGGAACAAAAAGTCCTAAAGGTGGTCAGACCCAGATGGACATTATACAACCACTACTTAACTTAATCTCATCAAGATCTTTTTTTTTTTAAATCTTTTTAGTTGTAGTTGGACACAATACCTTTATTTTATTTATTTATTTTTATGTGGTGCTGGTGATTGAACCCAGGGCCCTGCACATGTGAGGCGAGCTCTTTACCACTGAGCCACAACCCCAGCCCATCAAGATCTTTTTATTACTGTAACTTTAAAATGTCTGCTTTCATTGTAGCTACATGCAAATCTTAGCATCTACCCAACAGGGTCAACTAAAGACATTTTCATACAAACTGTGGTCTAGCAGGGGTGTTCATGTATATTTGTCATTGATTTTGGGCCCAAATGTAAGATTACACATATTTCTGCTAGATTGTACCTTATGGTTCCAGTTTATTGAAACAGTTTGGCAACTTGAACCTATCAATCAACTATTAACTCCCCAACTCAACCTATATCATAGACAAATCAGATAAGCATGCCTTCTCTGCCTTTTTCCAGGTCTTGATAAAAATTTTTGGTAAGTATAGTTTTCTCTGATATGAAGATGCTGATCCACAATGGGGATTGGAGTGGGGGAAGCATGGGTGTAATGCAGGAACTTTAGATATGGCAAAGGGGAGGGAAAGGAAAGGAGAGGGCAGGAGGCAGCAAAGATGGTGGCATGAGATGGATACCATTACCTCGAGTACATGTATGAAGACACAAATGGAGTGACTATATTTTGTGTACAACCAGAGAAGGGAAAAAATTGTGCTCTCTATGTGTACTATGAATTGAAATGCATTCTGCTGTCATATATAACAAATTAGAATTGTCGCATTCCCCGCGACAAAAACACTCAGGGTCACTCCAGGGGTACTGGGCTGAGGAAATAACCACACAAGAGACAGAGATACCTTTTTCTTTGAGGGTCCTGTGATGCTCCTCTGACCTTAAGGGTCCACAGAAAGAGAGAGAGTGTGCGAGCTCATGCTGACCCCTTTTATTGAGGAGAAGCCATTCAAATGAGGCAAGGGGTCAGGTTTCAAGGGGCTGATGTCTGCTGTCAGCAAGTTGACTGACATCTAGGAAAGCCACACCCAAAGGCAGAGCAAGAGAAGCGGACACACAAAGGGCGTTTCTGTGGAACATTCTATCCCAAACAGGGCAAAGGGGTAATATCACAAAGAAACAGTTGAGCATAGCCCAACCCATGGGGCTGCAAGAAGGCACGCCTACACATGAAAACACATTTTGTGACTTCCAAGATCGGGGCAGCCATCTAGGGCCACTTTGATGTGGCCAGATCACTTGGAAGTRACAGACAGAGCCTCAACTAATCAGGGAGGGAAAATGCTGGTAACATAGAGTGACGGCCTCCCACACAGAATAAATAATATTTTAAAAAAAGAATAACATCCAAACCCCTGTCATAAAATCAGGCAATAGAGACAATGAGCAGCAAATTTGATAAAGATATTGCTAGAGTGAGAATCACAGGCCCTGCATCTTAGCCTACCAGCTTAATAAGCCTAGGAAAGTCATTATAAGCTGGGAATTTCTTCCAGTTTTAGTAACTTATGACTCTATGGATATAGGACAGCCTTAGTTTGAGTAAAAACTCCTATCAAAACTGGAACTTAAGAAGAAGCTGTCATATTATAGGATTTTTGTTGACTACCACATAAAAGGATCATTCAGTTAGGCTTCTATAGGTGGTGAAGCAGTCTGGCACAGCAGTTTCAACGGCATGGGCTTTAGGACCAGACAGATCTGCGGGCTAGTCCTGATTCTGCGATTTATTGGCTGTACAGCCCAGGGTAAATTACTTACCCTGTTTTTATTTTGGTATCTGCATGTAAAATAGAAAATACCACAGAGTTCTAAAAATTGAAGGATGCATGTGAAATAACAAGAGCAGTGTCTTATATATAGTAAGTGCTCAATAAATAGTAATTATTGCTTTTATATAAATCCAATTAAAGTATGATGAAGGTCATTAAGTTTTATTCTACTTTTATTGTGACAATATGTACTAAGATGTATAAAATTAAGCAACCAATACCATAAAAACGTATTTGTAAGAGAATGATGTAGACACAAGTTGCACCAACACTGTTTCCCTTTTGTTTCCACAGGCTATGCGTAGACTTGCTTCCTGAAAGTGGGATCAGGAGGTCATTCACTGTAAACAAGGACTGCAAGGCATAATTTACCCAACAATGTCATTCTATGCAAACATTTTCTGCATTGATTATTTCTTTGGACTTGAAACACTTCATTCTTTTCCTTTTGCATTTTTTTAAGTCATTGAGTTTTTTAACCTCTTAGTCATTAAATGATGAAAACATTTAGATAATTTCTGTGCCTTATTTATTTAATAAGCAGCTTACCTCTAAAATGTGCAAAGTGGCAAGGAGAATTGCCCAGGCAAATTGGATCTTCTGACATTGTAAGAATGCTGCAAATCTGCCATGCAGATGAACTAGCAATGTGCACCAGGTTACTGGCATATCTCTGTTCAATCAGAGTAAGTGTTGACCTAATAGCTTCTGTGGGTGGGTGAGTCAGGAAGGACTAATCATAAAGAAAGATCTGTTTCTGATTGACCTTGATATCCATGAGCTGCACTGATCACAGAGTAAAGGCACATTCAGAAAATGCTGAAATGCAATTATTCATGCTTTTATCAATAATAGCCTTTTTGCAAAATAAGTCAAAGTTTTTAAAATACAAGTTTGGTTAGTACTTAGTAATGAAGTGTTGTTATATGTGACCAGATATATAACCAGAATTTAGGATCTCTTTAATGCTGGACATGGTTCACTTAAAAACTATTAGAATGGGGCTCATATATTTTAAAAATATTGGGGCAGAGAAGTGAGATTTTCATGGCTTATAGAAATAATTTTTTGATATGATAACATCATAGATCACAATTAAGATCAAAGAAAATAAAATACGAGACAGACTAGCTTAAAAATGAAGTTTTAACTTATCCTTATAGAAATGCTCATTGTGTGAAACTTTATATAGGTATGATATATTGAAAACTGCTATTATGAGCAAAACCAATTTTGATATAAGATCATGATGATTAAAATTAGCTTATATTTTTCTCCACTTATCAGTACATAAAGTAATATTTAATTGAATTCTAACTACTTTTCAAAAGAAATCTACAAATAAAATGTCTATAGTAGTCTGTACTTAAAATGAGTTAACTCAAAAGGAAAAAATGGTTTGGAATATACACTTTGGAAATAGATACTTTTAAAAAATCCATATCTTAAGCCAGCAAATTTTATCTTTCATTTTTACTTAGTCATTTCCAAACACAGTTCTAGGTATTAATGTATAATATATAGGTTGGAGTGAAGTCACCATTTCCAGAAACAAATAAGTACTCAGGTCTTCAGTTGAGCCAGTGTCCTGCTTGATTGAGGGCTATTATTTCCCTTTAGCACAGGTGTGTGAAATTCCCAAATGTGTTTGGTTATCCAAAGGTACAATGTGTCATCTCTGGTTTTTTTTCCTTAAATAAAATCAGAAACCATGTTCCCACTTCTGAAGGAAGATGATCAGTGATAATATAAAATTAGGTGATCCTGAATTGTGATTATATCTAGTTGTGGCAAAACCAGAATTATAATGCTATCTTATTTTCATAGTGATACCTGATTATAAGGGCAAAAATTATCTCTAAAGAGTGAATGTAATAGTCTTGCAGAAAATGAAAGAATACCTCTGTTCAATAGAGGGAATGTGCACTGCTCTCTCTCTCTCTCTCTCTCTCTTTCTCTTTTTTTTTTTTTTAAAGGAGATACCAAAGTTCCATTTTATAAGCTAGATTTTTGTAAAATACTGCGTCCATTTGCAACTATGAAGACCAGTCTTACTTGTTTCACCTGCACACTCTAGAAATACTCTCCTATGTATTTTGTGAATAGCAAGTATACCCTTAATTCTGTATTGTCTATGGAAATTTTACTTGAAATTAAAACTGTCTCTGTCATATTCTTAACCTATAGGATGATTGTAGTATTACATATGAATTTTAATAGCAAGTGAAAACCTTAAATCATGTAAATTTGAAAATATTTACACATATATTTAATAATTTCAAAGTTGCCTTTTGCTGAAGTGTGTCTTTTCTGAGAAAAACTATTAAACATAATTTTAAAATCCCATATTCCAAGTTTGTCATTACTTTTTTCCATGTTTTATTTATTTATTTAAATTAATATATGAGAGTGGAATGCGTTACAATTCTTATTTCACATRTAGAGCACAATATTTCATATCTCTGGTTATATGCACAGTATATTCATACCAATTTTTGTCTTCATACATGTATTTTAGATAATAATGACCATCACATTCCACCATCATTCTAACCCATCCCTCCTCCCTTCCCCTCCCACCCCTCTGTCCTATCTAGAGTTTGTCTATTCTTCCCATGCTCCCCCTCCCTACCCCACTATGAATCAGCCTCCTTATATCAGAGAAAACATTTGGCATTTGTTGTTTTGGGATTGGCTAACTTCACTTGGCATTATCTTCTCTAACTCCATCCATTTACCTGCAAATGCCATGATTTTATTCTCTTTTATTGCTGAATAATATTCCATTGTGTATATATGCCACTTTTTTTAATCCATTCATATATTGAAGGGCATCTAGGTTGGTTCTACANTGAATTGTGCTGCTATAAACATTGATGTGACTATGTCCCTGTAGTATGCTCTTTTTAAGTCCTTTGGGTATAGACCAAGGAGAGGGATAGCTGGGTCAAATGGTGGTTCCATTCCCAATTTTCCAAGAAATCTCCATACTGTTTTCCATAATTGGGTGCACCAATTTGCAGTCCCACCAGCAATGTATGAGTGTACCTTTTCCCCACGTCCTCACCAACACTTATTGTTGTTTGTCTTCATAATAGCTGCCATTCTGACTGGAGCAAGATGAAATCTTAAAGTGGTTTTGATTTGCATTTCTCTAATCGCTAGTGATGATGAACATTTTTAAATATATTTGTTGATTGATTGTATATCCTCTTCTGAAAAGTGTTCAGGTACTTGGCCCATTTATTGATTGGGTTATTTGTTTTTTTGGTGCTTAGCTTTTTGAGTTCTTTATATACCCTAGTGCTCTATCTGATATGTGAGGGGTAAATATTTGCTCCCAAGATGTAGGCTCTCTATTCACCTCACAGATTGTTTCTTTTGCTGAGAAGTAACTTTTTAGTTTGAGTCCATCCCATTTATTGATTCTTGATTTTAATTTGTGTGCCAAAGGAGTGTTATTAAGAAAAACCTTAAATAATATAAATTTGAAAGTATTTACACATAAATTTAATAAATGCAAAGTTGCCTTTTGCTGATGTGTGTCCTTTCTGAGAAAAACTATAAAATATAATTTTAAAATCCCATATTCCAAGTTTGCCATTACTTAAAAAAAAATGTAGATAGACACAACACAATGCCTTTATTTTTATGTGGCGCTGAGGATCGAACCCGGGTCCTGCCCATACTAGGGGAGCACTCTACCACTGAGCCACAATCCCAGCCCTTGCCATTACTTTTATCAGTCATCATTTTGATGTATTCTTCATAGCCCTAATTCCATTTGTAGGTAATTTTTTTGTAGGCTTATCAATGCATAAATAATGTTATTCACAAATCTCAGTAAAATCCGTAATTCTTAACCAAATATTTACAGCTTATTTTGTACAATGGTTTTCATTATCTTAAGCAAACTCTTCATTCTAGTTCAACATACATATAAAAAGAATACAAATCCTAGTGTATTCTTAAAGAATTTTCATAAGCACACCAGTCAGCCAGTCCCACATCAACAAGCAGAATAGAATCAGTGCCTTGCAGCCCTTCCAAACTCCTCCTGCCTAGTAAAGCCAAGGGTAATCACTGTCATCAGTCATAAAACCTATTTTTTGAAATGGCAATAAATGGAAGCAAAGATTATTTTCCTCCTTCACTTTTGTGTGTTTTCTTTTACTCAATGTTATCATCAGTTTCATCCCTGTTTATGCATGCAGCAACCATTCATTAATTTGTTCTGCTGTATAGTATCCCACTATCTAAATACTTACTTATCCATGGGCTTTCATAAATAGGACTGCTCTGAACATTCTTGTGAGGTGCTCCTCCAGGTTCCAGAAATATCTGGGGTGGGGTCCTCTATAAGGGGTGTGGCCCTAAGAGATGAGAGTCAGTGGAAGTAGGATTAATCTCTGACTACATCAGAATAAAAAGCATTTGTCAAGTGAACAATATAATAAACAATGTAACACAAGGCACATGGACTCTAGTTTAATCAAATGAACATTAGTTCCAAAAGAAAACTACATAAGAACAAGTGAATGGGACAAAATGAATGGGAGAGAGAGAAAAACAAATGTAAGGGAAAGAGGAAAGGAAGGTCAGAGGAGTAAAAGAGTAAAAAGGGGGAGAGTCACTGATGAAGAAAATGTCATTAGAGGGCTGAACTCAGTGATGCATACTTGTAACTCCAGCTTCCCAGGAGGCTGAGGCAGGAGGATCCCAAATTCAAGGCCAGCCTGAGTAACTTACTAAGATCTTATCTCAAAATAAAGAGAGCTGTGCTTGTAGCTCAGTGGTACAACACTTGCCCAGCATGCGTGAGGCCCTGGGTTTGATCCCCAGTTCTGAAAAAAATAAATTAGGAAAGGAATAGGAGGTAGAGAATTTGGTAGCAGGAAAAGAAAATTCAAATAGAGGGTTAATTTCAATACAAACATCCTTTAAGAACTCAAGAGAAGGGAGTGACACTCCTTGTCCTACACACCATACCCTCTCTTGGTCCTCTTTACCTGGGTCTGTTCCCTCACCCCATATAGTTATCATCTTTTGGTTTGCCCTATAATTCACTTATGTTAGTTGTTTTTTTCTTCCTGTTTCCTCCTCTATGCTAGAACATAAGCTTTTCCAGGGCAGAGTTCTTGTTTTGTTCCTGGACATAACACCAGTACTCAGAAGTGTCAGAAGGGCCAGTCACACATTAGGTGCTCAACAAATATTGCTGAATGGCTGAATTAAGCTGCAGTTAGTGATGCTGAATCAGGCTAACATGGTTTCAGAATATTAGTCTTCAAAATATATAAGAACATGCAGTGTTTCCCCAGCTTTCAAGACTATTTCTGAGGCCTACGGCAATAACTCATTCTTGCTTGCTTACTTACTAGATTCCAGGAAAGGGGCTGGCAAATCACTTAGCTACTAACAGAGAGCATGCTGTTGAAGGTCTTTTAGACTTTGTACTCATTTTGAATATGCTGAACAAGGTAGCCCACTCTGTCTTTTTCTTCAGGAACATCTTTGGGTCTGGACATGGAGATATTGTTTTTTGAATAAGATTTTCTAGCTTCAAGATCATTCCCAGTGCATTTTTTTTTTTAAGATCATTTGCTCCAGTATTGAGCTCCTTTGTCCTCATTTAAAACTTTCCAAGGGCACTCATTTCTCCATCTCCCCCATGTTAACATCTTGCATAGTGACTGTATAATATAAACCCAGGAAATTGGTGTTGTACAAACCATAGAGCTTATTCATATTTTATCAGTTACACATACACTCAGATGTGTGTATCTCTATGCAACGTTATCCCTTGCACAACTTCATATAAACAATCAAGCTTAACTATCCTGTCAACAAAAGACTTCTTCTGAGGATTCCCTTTTTAAAAATATTTTATTTTTTTATTAGTTCATTTTGGTTATAAATAATATTAGGGTTCACTTTGACATAATTATACAAGATAATTTACTACAATTCAGTCCCCAGTCCTTCCCCTTTCCATCCCTCTTCCCTCCCCTGTTCCCTTTCCTCTACTGATACACTTATTTATAGTTTTTTTTTTTTTAATTAGTGCCTTGTGGATGTATATGAAAGTGAGGTTCACTGTGGTATATTCATATCTGGACATAGGAAAGTTAGGTCAGATTCATTCCCAGTTCTTCCTCAGAGCCCTTTTCAAAAAGCACTTCTAAGT